CCTGCACAGGGTGCCTCATGTTACATTCCTATCCCTTTCTCTCTGTCACTCTCACTCTCTCTCTCTCTCGCACTCTCTCAGCTGCATTTGCTGGTGTTTTCCTCTAGAATTTATCATATTCTATTTTGTTTGTAATTCAATCTGAAACGCTGTTATTAAAGTTCTGTTGCTGCCGCGTCATTTGATCTATATGCCTAGGCACACACCCCCATACACACACCTCCCCCCCACCCCCCACACACACCCCACTCTGAATGGCTGCTAGGCCAGCGTTGTCATTGTGTGTTTGTAACTCAATCCAACTGCTTTCTGCACTAGCTCAACATGCAGAAGGTTATAACTCCGATGGATGTATAGAAAATTGTGCGTGTGGCCAAGTGGCAAGCAAATAGTAACTGCAAGGAATGACATCCATATATATATATATGTATATATTGTAAAACAGGACACCAAGATGGAATAACTCTACATAAAAACAGTTATCGAAAATATTTGTATTTAACTTTTCTAGAAGTGATTTAATGATTTTATGCGCTAGAAACTGAATTTCAGATTTAAATTTAGAATTATTCGACAGCTTAAACCTTGATTAAAAGGCCCAGGACTTTCAAATTCTTTTCAAAGTATTAACCGATCCCTACAAGCACTTGTAAGACGTCAAACCATAACTAAAAATGTATTCCTTTTGAAAATCTGATAAATTTTGAGTAAGTTTATGTGTCCAAATTTGAATGCAGTTTTAATCTAGAATCCAAAACATTATGGAAAATATATTCCAAACATAAGTCAGTTCGATAGTTTTGGGAATGGGAATAGTGGGTAGATTGTGAACCAATTCGCAAAGTGTCGAATAACCTTTTAGGGTGATTAAAGCATAGTCCATCTATTATTATGGTCGCATGTGAGCTAATGCGTACTGAGGCTTGAATAACAACTGTTCTATTTGTCAATATCATTTATGACGCCCACAAGCAGTTATTAATTTCATTCAGTACAATATGGGTCTCCACCTTAGCCTTTGGCCTAAAACACAAACGTGCTAAATTTATCATGATTCGACTTGCATGCGAGGGCTGTCAGACAAGTTATGCTATGTTTAAGCTATCGAGAAATAGGAAAACTTTCGCACTATAAAATCATCGATTCAAGTGAATTGAAGTATATTAAAATGTGTTCTACTCGAAATCAATTAATATATTTATTAGATTATTTAAAAGAGAGAGAATAAATATTAATACCTAAAAATCTTTAGTTAGGAGATAATTATACTGCAACTTTAAAATTTGCAGTTTTGAATTAAACACAAATTGAAAATGATAACAAATAAAACTTGTTTTTTGTAGTTTTGTTAATGTTCAAATTCAGAATCTACCCAATAATGTGTGTCTTGTTCATTGGCTCCTTTCGTTCGCGCACATCCTTTTGAGACGTTGGAACGTTTGTTTCGGTTTCGGTTTCGGTTCGGTTCGGTATCGGTTTGGTTTGGTTTGGGACGGACTGGCGAGGGAGGACAGAGGACAGACGGCGCGACGCTGTCATAAAGCGGAAACCTTGAAGCGTATCGTCTTACAAAAGTCCTATCGAATTGCACCCATGAGGCGCGTTAATGTTGTATTTGTTGTTTGTTTGTTGTTGTTTTCATTATTATTGTTGGGCTGTAATTATGCTGTCTGTTTTCTGGCTTGCGTTTCTCTTTCTCTTTCCCCTTTTTTTGTTGCTTCTCTCCATTAATTTTGCTGTTGCTTGGTTTGCAGCAAATGCAGCTTATAATTATGGCCCGCTGATTGAGCCAGGTAAAAATAAAGCGGTTAAATTTCAATATTTTTAATTGATACTTTTTATATACAGAAAGTGTTGCATACTTTCTGGGGTAACTGTTGGGTGTCAGTTTGTGTGTGCGTATAATGTGGATAATGGGTTGACATTTTGAAAGCATCCATTAAAATATTAATTATAAATTGTTGCATTTTTAATAGCAAATATCTAATTAATATTTTTTTATTTTTTTATAATAAAATAATCATACTTATTATAATAAATCATTGTACTTTTAATCGTAAGGAACAATATTAAAATGTTTATTTCATGTTTATAACTAAAGTATCAGATAGTATAATCCATTTGATGTATAAAATATTAGTAATATTTGTGTTCTATATGAATATTTGAATTATGATGTTAATCTAATACTGGCCGCTAAATTACTTAAGATTTTTTTTACTTAAACACACAAATTATAAGTTTCCTAGCTTTATTCCCTGAAACGCCCACTTCAACGGCATTCAAGCAAAGTTGCAGACCCAAGATCAATCTCAAGCAAGTAAGAAAACTCTCGCCGAGAGAGCTCGACTAGCAGATACCCTTTACCTTTACGTCTTGTATACAAGCCAATATAGATATAAAGAAGCTATCCAGCTGATATCTTTACAAATAATAAAAATAATCAATGTCCATTTACGTCTCGGAAGCGTAGGAAGTTGTAGATAAAATAAATAGTAATCTTGAAAACTTGTGTTCCAAATTTGAAGCCTCTACATTGTTTATAGTCTCCGAGAAAGACTTGCTGTACAGACGGACATGGCTATAACGACTCGTCTGTTCACCCAGAACCAGAATTCCTTTAGTCTGCCACATGCATTCACACAGTTTCGGCATACCCCTTTCTGTCCGCTTTCAATTGGTTTAGGGTATTAAAAAAAAAACCCCGAACCCAATCCCAAACGCAGCTCATTCATTATAATAATTTTTCTGTTTAATAATATCATTGCGCTCAACTGCAAGCCAGCGGCTACAATTTCAATTTACCGATCCGATTACACGTGCAACAACAACAACAACAAAAATGTTGTGAGACCGCCGTCATCGTTGTTGTTGTTGTTGTTGTCATTCTCGCGGGTCTCTGGCATTAAATTAATTTTGCTCATTTGGCGAAAAACTCACACAGAGCAAAAAATAATAACAGAAGAAGAAGAAGAAGAGAGAGAAGTGGAGGGGAGAGCAGCGCACAAACGGGGTAATGGGCAAAACGAGGTAAGAAGAGACACTGAGACGGAGACCCAGAGCGTGGGAGAGTAGGAGAGAGAGAGAGAGAGAGAGAGAGACTGAGATAGAGGCAGAGGCAGGCAGTCTGCGTCTATTTGCACACCCACACACAGACACACACACATACACACGCACTCGTTCGCTCACTCGTTAAAATGATTATAAAAATATATCAATATAAAATTACCAACGCTGCTTCGGTTTACAGTTAACTCTCTGCACAGTGTTGGCGTAATCGTAATTGCTCGACTACAACCTCGCCGTCGACGTCGCTGCCAGCTGCGCTTACCCACCTCTCCAACCTTTCGTCTATGCACAAAACTGCAGGCAGAGGTAGAGAATCCTAAGCGCAAAAATGTTTCTGTTAATTCTCTGTTATGGTAATCTAAAACTAGCCTGGGTTGGTTAGGGGAGGGGGTTGGAGCTGAGGGGGTTGCTGTGGGGCTTTGGTCAGAGTTAGAAGTGAAGTTATCATTGCTGTTGCATAGTTTCCACACTTTGAAATGTGCTCATCATCAAAACTGTAATTGAAACTCGGCATTTGAATTCTGGGGACTTAGTTTAGGATTTTCTTGTAGTAAGAGTTCGAGTTTGAAGATATAATTTTTGTGTAATTCATACATCTCTGGCTAGCCTTAAACGTATTCAGATTATCATATTTATATTGTGGTAACTTGAAACTAATAAGTTTTTTGAAATTGATGAAAAATTGTGTGTTTTATTTGAGCATAAAATACATGCATCTTTTTAGATAAATGTAATAAATCCATTTGAATAATGAGCATTGCTAATTTGTTGTCATTTGTTTGACATTTAGAACGCAGACAATAAATCATAACGCGACCCTCAAAAATAGCAGTGAGGGACTCGATCAAAACGTGATTCCAGCTCCAATTGGTTTTTGATTCTGCTTATCGAAAATCTTAGCGAAATGAAAAACATTAATTCTCCTGAACGAGGTGAGATATTTCTACCTGTAAAATACTCTATTTTCAGCATGTGAATTGAAATTTAGATGATTATTTGAGATAGATAATCTGTTTTCAGCTTACAGTGTAAGTTGTAACGTTAAAAAAGTGAAAAATGTAATATCATCTATAATAAAATTTGTTGGTAAATTTCAATAAGCGATTTTCCACTCAAGCTTGATGAAAGTCTTACAAATGCTTCATATTATGTCAAGCTATTTTAATACATAATAAATGTGTCTTATCTTTAATATAATCAACTTTCACAATAGTATAAAACAAACTTTATTTGTTGCTTTCATAATTTAAAAAAATATATTAAATTTTCCAATTTATGAGTGATCATAAACAAACAAAATTTCAATAGCTAAAAAACCAACCAATACTGGGAAAATGATAAAAATGAAATGAATTTTAAAATAAATGTAAACACCGACAAGTAAATATAACCTTTCAGTTTTCTCTGATTACATATTAATATTTGAATTCAACCTCACATTCGGCACGTTTGAAATCGCAGCCAAAAATAAACCATAAATAACCAATAATAAAAAATCAACAGAAAAAAACGGAGAAAATTCAACTGCAATAAGAAAATTTCAAATGAAAAAAACATATGTATTTTAATTTGCTGAATGTTTTGCCATTTTTCTTGCGTTTTCTTTTAAACGCACATTTTGCTGGCTTTTATTTTAGCAAATTTTGTATTTTCTTTTTTTTTGGTTTTTCTTTTTGTTTGTGTTTTGTTTTTGCATCCTTGTTATTGAATACTATTTAAAACCGATGTGCAGACAGAAGTCATTAATTATAATTGTGTGTGTGAGTTTTTTTTTCGTGTTGTTGTAGCTTTGCCAACAATTAATGTTTAAAGGTGAGAATTACGTGAACGCAACTTTGTATCTAAATACTTGCAACTATACATGTGTGTGTGTGTGTGTGTGTGTGTGTGTTTCTGCATCTGTGAGTCTGTTTTTCATTCATAAAACGTACCTTTATCTCATCGCTGGGCAGCTCCTTTTTGATCTGAACAACGCCGCCGCCGGCCACATTTGGTGGCACAACGCTTGCGGCAGCTGCCACATTGCCTTCGCGCGAATTCGATGGTGATGTTTTGGCCGACATTGTTAACGGTTTGCCGTTTTTTTTGATTGGTTTTTTGTTGTTAACTGAAACGCGAAAGATTTTGATTTCGATTATAAATTTATCAATTGACGACTGTTATTGTGGAAATTTATCATTAATTATGAAATATTTAAGAAATGTATCTTTGAGTTGCACCAGAGGCAAAAATGATATGTATGTCTGCTGAGCTTGCACGACTCTCTAAAAATGGCAGCTAAAAAGTTTTGCAAGACACAAAAATTTCCATAGCAATAATTCCCTAACACTCTAGTCATGAATGAATGTTGAATAGGCAGCTATTATATTTCTAATTGTAGTTTTTACTAGAATATGGGCATTTTTGGGGTCACCGATTTTTCTCATTTACAGTGTGGCGATCAATCATCGAAGGGGTTGCGTCTTCCATATTTGTTACTTGGGCAAAATCATTTGCTATACACGCCTTCCTAATGCCGCCTCCTACATATATACTCGTATATTTTTTGTGTTTTTATTTTGAGGGCATAATTAATTACAGCGTCTTCTTAATTTTCACAGAGCGCTTCGTTTGCCGCTTCTGATGAATGTTTGTAGATGTAGCTGTAGCTGTAGCTGTGTATCTGTATCTGTATCTGTGTATCTGTATCTGTGTATCTGTATATGTGTATCTGTATCTGTAGCTGTATGCTTTGCATATTGTTTCGCATCCATTGGATACGCACGCAAGCAGACGGCGGTGTATTTATATACCAACAGAGTGTAGCTGTATCTGTGCTTAGTACACACACACACACACACACACATATATATATATATATATATATATATATATATATGTATATGTATCCGTATCTGTAGCTGTGTGTGTGAGCGTGTTTGGTTCGCGCGCACTTTGGTGTCTTGTAATTCAATACCCCATACGAAACGTTACCACCTATCGCATAACACAGCAATACTAATACAGATACAGATACAGATACAAGAGCAACAACAAATACGAAAATACAAATTACAAATTACAATAACAAATCCACAGAAAACAAGAGCCAAGTGGATTTTGTGGTATGTAGAAATGTATTTTGCCTTAACGCGCCCAGCAAGAATACAAAAAAAAAAAAACAACAAAAAAATCAAAAATTAAAAGAACTTTTAGCGCGCACTTTGAATTTGGAAGACTTGAATTTGAAACGGGTGATGTGAAAAGGGTTTGATCAAAGGGTTAACTGTAATAGAACACAATAGCAGCTATTTTATATATATTTAGATTATATATAGCAGAAAGTAACAGTATTTGAATTCTGATGTAGTGTTTCAAATTGTTCAAAATTCATTTCAAAACTAGCATACATCAGCATCTATTATTATATTTATTACTCAGTTCAATTTGTTACTTAATAAACTAAATTTCATATAAGCGAATTAATATCAATTTCGGCTAAATCAAGTTCTCTATCTTGACAAACTGGCACTCTTTCGAATACAACAATAACAACAACAACAAAAACAAAAACAATCCAAGGCAACTTCATTATCCATCAGATAATATATCATATACATTTTCATTTTGAATTGTTCACACCATAAATATATATATCACTTTTCATTTTACATATTTGTTTATTAATTCTTAAAGAGGCTGCTGAATTTTATACACATTCGGTTTTTAATGCGATTTCTTTTGTTGATCTTTATGAAAATTCTGGGTTTTTTTTTTTTTTTTTTTTTTTGTTTTTGGCTCACTGAAAACATTTTAATTTTGCGTCGCATTGTTTTCAATATTGCTTTGTTTGTAGTTGTGCATTCTTTTTATTATTTTCGAAAATTATTTTAAAATGGATATTTACAGCTCAAGGAGTTTTATTATTTATTGTGACTACTTTGTGGTATATCTGAGAACCGCATTCTCTCAAGTATTTCAATTTTTTTTGTATTTTTTTTTGGTTTTGGTTTTTCTGGTTATTCACTTGTAGATGAAAAAATTTCCAATGCAGCGCTTGTCCAATATATATTCCAAAAATAGCTTTATATTTTCGACATGATGTATATTTTTATGTGTACGGCCGTTTCTCACTCACAATTGCCTTTCTTTTCGTATTATTTTTTTCGTTTTTTCTTTTTGATTTGATTTTTCCGCTTTACAACAAACAACGAAACCGAACGTCAAGGAAAACCATGCCCAATGCTCATTTTCATTTTCACTTTTCACATGCACATCTGAATACGAATACGAATACGAATACGAAAACGATTACGAATTCGTGTTTACGAACTCAATTCTGAGACTCTCTGTGTGTGTGTGTGTTTAATTTTTTCGAAACGATTTTGAGATTTTCGTTTGCGATTCTCTCGTTCTTCGTTCGCCTTTTGCTTGTCTCACTTCTCGTTCGCTGCCAACCGTCGACGTCCGCACGCGGCCGCGTTTCATCAACGTTTGACGCTGGCGGCCACTGCCATGTGAATTTTACTTGAGCGACGTTCGAACACCCGCACAGTGGGACCAACTGCTCAATAACTGTGCACAGATCCCATTTATACAACAACACATTGGCTATGAGTATAAGTCGGTGAATAATGACTTAACTAAAGGACATGGCAAACAGCGTTTTTTAAAAAGAATTCCATGTAATAATAATAATAATAATAATAATAATAATAATAATAATAATAATTTTAATATTATACAATTCAATATTTTTTTCTTTGCTTTTGATTTACTTTAAGAACTTGTCTAAGTTTACAATTAATTCAAATTGATCTTCCTATACGCTGATTCTTTCACTAAATTCAAAGATATTCCGAGTTCTTTCTAAAGCTTAATTCCATTGCATTTTATAGAGACTGGTTCCACTGTGCAGTGCAAAGCGCCGTTCTTCTTGTTGTGCTTGGTGTGCTCTGCTGGCCTCTGCTGCGTATGCGCAGCTGTGGGTCCCCAGTCCAGTCCAAGTGGCTGCTGCTGCTGCTGCTTGATGACGTATGTGGTGGCAACTTCTGCAACCCCCCTTCTGCATGCAGCGCCCCTTTTCGTTGCACACTTTGATGAGTCAAAGTTGGGCGCTGAGGCGGCTAAGAAGATTTATCCATCTCATGAAAACGAAAACGAAACTGTCTCAATTTAGTCTCTCTATCTCTTTGCCACTGTCTGCCTCTCTCTCCCTCTGTTGCACTCTCTCTCTCTCTTTCTCTCTCTCTCTCTCTTTCTCTGTGTGCACCACACTGCTGCTGCTGCATATTTTCATTTTATTGTGGTGGATGCAACTCGTGGACTATAAATAAATTGCATCGTGTGGCTGCTGCATGTTTACCTGCTCGATTCGTATTTGAGTATTTGTGGCCCGCCTTTGTTTGTTTGTACTTTTTTCGAAAATTTATTATTGTGTTATGTCTAATTTGCTTTAATTTATTCAAAATTGTTTGCAAGTGCGGCATTGCACCGAGTTAAACGCACTTGAAACGAACAGACACACACAGCTAAGGAATCCAAATTTCTTATTAATGGCGAAATTCAAGTTATCTCAAAAATGTTTCATATGTTTTATAGAGGCCAACGGCTATCAATTGTTGGTCAAACGCATTTTTTGAGCTTAATTTGAAATATATTGGGTAAGAATTTTGGCATTTAAGGTTGATCCATTTTAAAATTGTTAAAAATTGAAGACTAAAGTAAGTTATTAAAATATTTATGTAAAATTAAATAACGAATAGGATATTACACTTTAGTATAGACTTTAGTTAATAATTAAAAATGAATCAATATAAAATTATTACAACATTTAAATAAAAGACAGTAAGAGATAAGAATATTATATTAAGATTGGCAAATATTTGAATTAAACATTTCACCTGCTATTCGATTTTAGTTACTCAACGCTAAGATTTAAAAATCTATTCAGCTTTTTATAATCATAATTGCTATTCAGTTTTAATAACTCAACTCTAAGATATAAACATATATTCTCTTGTATAATTTTAAGATTTTAATAAGAGTTTAGTTAACAATTAAAAGTGATTCATTGTAAAAGCTGACAGAATCAATCAGTTGCATTCCACACGGATGGGTCACTTGGTTTAGGGTCTTTGTCATCTAGTTGGCTGGTTGGCTGCCAATATTATTGGTAACGCGACATGCTTATGGCATGTGGCAAAACAGCTGGCAACAAGCCGTAAAAGACGTTGGCTATTTGTGCATTTACCACTCTGTAACGTGTACTATATTGAACGGTGCCAGTCGTCGCCCTTAATATCGGCGTGCCTGGAACTAATTGGTGAAGATAGTGCCAACTAAATGCTACTACTAACTTGAGGCTGTTTATTGCCTGTTCTGTTTATTATATTATTCAAACTAAATTGAGTGTTTAAATAGCACATCATAATCAACAAGAAGACAAAGCAGCTGGCGTGTCAATTAAATGAACACAATGCAGCTAAATATAAGATGAATTAAGCATTCAAACAATTTGTTTGATGAAATAAATAATATGTCTCTCGCTATGCAAGTGCCAAACTAAATACTTATATATACTTACTTATTATATCTGAAATATATATAGGATATACAGCTGACTAATGAAAATCGTGACAGCCGTTGAAAATTGCATTTCAATCTCTAATTGCGTTTTGTGTCTATGTCGAAAAACAAATAAAAACATAAGAAATTCTTGTTTTGTTGTCATTTGTTGTTGTTAATGATACTCGCCGTGCATTTCAATTAAGCATACAATTGCTTAAAACAATCAACTTTTGCTGCCACTTGGCGCAAGATCGTTCATATGACTCCGTGGCGCAACGGTAGCGCGTCTGACTCCAGATCAGAAGGTTGCGTGTTCAAATCACGTCGGGGTCAAAATATGAGAAAGTGTAAACTCATTTTTACATATTTTTTAAAATTATTTTACATATATTTTTATATACTTGCTGCTCATATTTAACCTAGGAAATTATCTAATCAAGCAAAAATAATCATAAAAAATGCTTTATAGTGTTTAAAATATATGCGATATTGTTGTTTATTTCCTACATATATTTTATGATTATTTTGCATATGTTTCCTACACCTGCAACGCATTATAAACAAATAAAATTATCTAATCATTCTTACATCTTTTTCAAATTATTCTGCAATACACATTTGCCAAAGTAAATTATTGCATTGACTAAATATTGCTTAATAAATGGTAAAAATATGTGCAATAAATAAATAAAGCCCACATTTACTATGCTGTCTATAATAAAAGTTGTTCTTTGATAGCTTTTCATAATATAATATCAATTGCCAACTCTTCAAAGAGCACTAAATATAATTAAGAGCTTGTGAAAGACTATCTTTTTTTGTATTCGAATTAGTTGGCGGCTGAAAACCGGCAAAAATATAAAAATAATTTGCTTTGATTTATGTTCTCTTTCATAAAGCCTTTATGCCTTCTTTTCTAATGATTTTTGATGAACAAAACTGATAAGTGAAATTATAAGTATATTTTCATTTACCAAACTTATATTTATTGGCTATTCAATTTATTTCTCTTCCTTTTTAAGATATTTCTGTTGCCAACGTTATAAAAGAGAGTCAGAGAGAGAGAGAGAGAGAGAGTAAGCGCTCTCTCGCTCTTCAACCTAAAGAGCGCGTCAGCTGCTAGCAAAACAAAAAACAGCTGTTGTCACAATCAGCTGCTTCTGACAGCTGCAAAGAAATCAACCAAGTAAAAAACTAAAAAGCAAACTCGAAAATAATTGAAATCGTAAACAAAGAGAGATGCTATAATGTCCAAATTACCCAAAGCAGCGCTTAGTCTAAAGCAGGTGAGCAGTGAGAGAATGTGATAAAATTAAATGAATTAATCACCAAATTGCTGTTCCGCACAGTTCATGCTGCGCCAGGAGGTGCTCAAATTGTATAGGGAAATCTGGAGAGCTACTCGCCTCGTGCCCGATAAGCACAGTCAGCGTGAGCTGCGTGACTGGGCACGACACGATTTCAATTTGAATCGCGGGCAGAGCGACGAAGTCGCCATCAAAATGCTGCTGCAAAGCGGCAGACGCAGCTTAAACGAGCTGCAGACCAGCCTCCAATTGAGTGGCACCAAATCAAATGCGGCAAAGTGAGCAAAACAAAAGGTTGAATCTTTCTTCATATATATATGTATATATATTTGAGCTTGTTTGTCGTTGTTGATGAATTCGAAGAATTACAACCATAAATATATTTATATATATATAAATAATAAAGCTTAAAATGAACACACCAAAGCCATTAGAAAATATGCTTAGAAAACCTTTGAGGTGCCACAATTCGCTGTTCCGTAAGTCTCTGTTTGTGTGTGTGTGTTTGAAAAAGCAGTCTAGCGTTCGTTTTGTTTTTGTTTCTCTTGTTTGGTACATGTCAACAGTGCTTACTTTGTAGGTACAGGTTAACAGTCGACTACTTTGTAGGTACATGTTAACTAAGTAGTGTACCAGAGTAAAGCAGTTAGTACTTTTGAGCCAATTTGAAATGTAATCATGATAACGTTATGTTAATTCTAGCAAATATGTACCTAATAGTTTTTTAGCACATGTTAACATTGGTTTACTTTGTAGGTACATCTTAACTCTAGCAACCATGTAGCTACATATCATGTTCGCTAACTAAGTAGGCTTTAGTACATTGTAACATTGATGTCCATTGTAGGTACATGTTAACTTAAGCAACGTATACATGTTAACTCTGGCTACATCTCAACACTGTTAACTTTGCAGGCTTTAGGACATGTCAACACTGCTTTAGTAGGTACATGTTAACTACAGTAGAAGCTCAGAGCAAAGGCCGCAGCAGACTCAACCAGGCAACTTTGAGCAAAGCAAGTCCAAAGAGCAGCGAACCCACGCTGGTGATGATCAGCGAAATGAGATCTCGTTTCGCGTGCTCCTCGACGCGACCGACGAGGAAGCTGTGGATCACAGTGCTTGTGATGTGGGCGCCATCGAAGCCAAAGCAGGGAATCGCATTGATTAAGGCCAAACCAATGCTGAAGACGACGTTGTAGCGGAGCAGCAGGGAAATGGCATCCGGCCAGCTGGCGCTCAGCTGCTTGAAGCGCGGCACAAACCCAGAGATGCGCACCGTGTGCAGCACATCCCTCGCTTGTCCCACAAACATAACGGGCGCCAGTTGCTCTTGTTCCAGATTGCGACGCTTAAAGATCATAATGCTCGTCCGATTGGGCAGCAGCGGATGCAGGCAGAAGCCATGTAAACAGGCAACAGATGCAGCAGCTCCACTAGCTCCTCCAGTTCCAGTTCGACAATAGCCCATGGAATCCTCGAGGGTGCGTCGCATCGGCAGGCAGACATGCTGAGGTATCTCCGCCGGGGCATTCACCAGCAGCACATCCTCCACATACTCAAAGCAGCTCACATTCGGATTCCGTTCATCACAGCACTGCAGGCGTCCATCCGAACTGTGATGCCCAATGTCGATGCTCTCATCGTTGAGCCGTATGAAATCCGAACTGATGCAGTAACCCAAACGTTGACTTTGCTCCTGCAGCAAGCAGTGCAGCCAACTCTGTTCCCCAGAGATGGGACAATCATTTAACTGAATGATGACATCCTCCACCTGCAGACCACGTTCCCCGCGCAGCGGAGATTTGGGCGTCAATTCCGTAACAATTACGTGTTCGTTGTTCGCGTAGAACGGTGACATGGTTAGGCCCAGTGTGGAGATGAGCAGATAGCAAACGCAGGCGAGCACAAAATTATTCCAAATGCCAGCGCACAAAATGCGCAGCTTGCGAAAGAAGCGTAAACTATTCAAATGATCGTGTGACAATTCCGTATACGCCAAGGGAAGGCAGTAATATATCTAAAAAGAGGATTAGGATTAAAATCCATTAAAGATCTCTCTGCAGACTCACCTTAAAACCAAAACCCGTAACGGGCACATCCTCCAGCACCGCAGCCAGTGCATGTCCCAGCTCATGGAGCAGTGTGCACAGCAACAAGGTAGCTATATAATAGCCAATCTCCTCCAGCGGCAGATTAACACCAGGCAACAAGATTTCGAGCTGAACTGTGGCCTCTTTTGTTGTAGTCGCTGTTGGCTCGTTGCCATTGAATATGGTGATAATCAGCAGAATGAGGCCAACTGGCAGCAGTAAAAAAGAGAGCAACACGCCCATGTTAAAGCTCTTGACCAGAACACTGCGGGTGCAACTGTTCCCCGCCGTGGAACCCCACCGGATTAGCATCCGATTGAAGGTGCTCGCATTCGAATGCCAATGCAGACTCAGCAGATTAACACTTAGTCCGGTGTTGCGCAGAAAGGCATCGTATGGATAATGCATGCAGCTCTTAATTAAAATAGAAATTTATACTTTAATATAATGCATACTTCATTCAATTGCCCAAAAGGAAAACACACCTTAAAGAAGCGATCGAAAAAGTAGAGCACGCCATAAATGGTCGTTAGCACTATGAAGAACACAATGGGATCCATTTATCGCTACTGTTCTTGGTGCTATTTTTGACTTTCTGACTTTTGTTTCAAATATTGCACATTGTTATTGTCGTCATTCCAATTGAATTATTCATTCTTAAGAATAATTTGAAGCAGGCGTTGCATTTTGTCGAACAGCTGCTTTTGCTTGCGCCGCTTGGCTCACGTTGGCAGCACTCTACTTTGTGGAATGTTGCCCCATAGTTGAAAAGATAGCAGCTGTGACGTCATTGGTTGGTTAACACTCTTGGTGTCTGTATGAAGTTGCCAGATAATGAAGAAATGGTAATAACTGTGACGTCACAAGCTCACATTTGACAATAACATTTAACATTTATTCAAACACAATTGTGTTTAAAAAATAACATTAAATAATGTAAGTCTCCATATCCATTAGACAGTCTCACAATTATAACTCAGCACTTGGCAATCTTCTTCTACGTATGCATTTGCTGTGCGGCGTTGCCACATTTCCTATTTTTAGTTGTATTTTCATCTACAAGAAACAAGCCGATTTCCATTTGATTTATTGCAAATATTGAAGCATAAATAATGCCGAAAGTGCGTCGCAGTCGCAAAGCGCCACCCGATGGATGGGAGCTAATTGAACCGACACTTGAGGAGTTGGAGCAGAAGATGCGTGAAGCGGAAACGGAGCCACACGAAGGAAAACGCATTACGGAATCGTTGTGGCCCATTTTCAAGATTCATCATCAGAAGACGCGATACATTTACGATTTGTATTATCGCCGCAAGGCAATCAGTCGGGAGCTGTACGACTATTGCCTCAAGGAAAAGATCGCCGACGGCAATCTAATTGCCAAGTGGAAGAAGTCGGGCTACGAGAATCTATGCTGCCTGCGCTGCATTCAGACGAGGGACACGAATTTCGGCACAAATTGCATTTGTCGTGTGCCCAAATCGAAGCTGGAGGAAGGTCGCATCGTGGAGTGCGTCCACTGCGGCTGCCGGGGCTGCTCAGGCTGAGGAAGCACCAGGGAGCAACCAACAACAATAAATAGCTTAGAGACAATCCGCTTATATTAGCTTTTAGCTAGAAGTATAGATTAAGAAATGTACAAAACTTATTGTAAGAGAACTGAGGCACTCTAAAGATTATAAAAAAGGACTACTAATAATTAATCTACAATTCTGTAAAACTTCAGTTAGAACTCTTCATTAAGTCCTCAAATCATACACTTGTAATAAAAATACACTTGACACAACTTGGAACAACATTTGTTGATGATTTTTCATTAATTTTATATTCAAAAGAAAATCATACATTTTCTGAGGAAAAACTCACCAGCTACCAGAAGTTATTACTATGGTTTATATATATTATTTCTAAGCAAAATACTACAAAATTTGTCGACTGTAAAATGTGCTTTATTATTTTGAGTATCCGAAAAAATTGTCATTTTAGAATATGTCAAGTATAGAAAAAATATTGAAATATGCCACTATAGTAATCAGTCTGAAATCCCTAATTGTTGCCTTGTATTGTATCTATGACGAAATTATCAATGATTTGGCAATGAGTGATACAACGAAAGTGATCAGTTGCATTTGTTCCACACTCCATGCGATTGTCTCAGTGCTGCTCGCACCAGGAGCTCTATTGGTGAGTCGCCCTACAAATATGTATATGCTGCATTAGATATATAACTGATATAAAGTTGCCTTACAGCGTAAGCCATTTCTGATATTACCTTGGATAGTGCTTTTGCCGGTGACCATTTTCGATTATATACAGTTCGTAAGAAGTATTTTGAATGATTCATGGGGCATTGTATTGGCATTGAGTAATATATAAGTAATATATATATTTATTTAGAGAGTACTCCATGTGACGTATCATTTTGCAGTTGTGGCCATTGGCTCTTGGTATGTGGCCGCGCATCTGTATATTATGTTCAGGAGGCTGGATGACCAGCGACAGCGTCGGACAATAATGGCCAATTTTGGGGCGGAATGATGAAAGATTAACTCGATGAATGATGAAATACAAGCAGAGCGGGCCAAAAATGCCGAGCAAAACAAAATGCAAAACAACAGGATTCTCCCCCTCTCTCTCTCGCTCTCTCTCTCTCTCTCTCTCTCTTTCTATGTTATTCAACTTGAACACAGGCAGTGAGGTGTGTATTTAACTCGATTGTGTTGAAGTTGAGTTTTTAGGCTTTTCGCAGCTTCAAAGGCAGTCAAAGGACATTCGGTTTTTTGCCAGTTTATCGTCGAGCTTTGGACCACACAGATCAAACTTGGGCAACAGGAAGCAAGAACGCAAGATAATTTTGCCAATTAGCAAAGCATTATTGAAATCGTCGTCGCAAATTGTGCAAAGCGTTAAACAATTGCTGGCAAATCACTTTGAACATTGACGAGCTGTTCAAATTGTTAAATTGTTTTTTATATATTGGACTTTTTTGTGTGTGGTGCATTTCGAATGTGCAACACAAAATAAATGTTTGTATCGATTAGTAGCAGAATTTGTTAAAGCGCAGCTGTGTGTGTGTGTCTGTGTGAGTGTGTGTGCAGCAGCAGCAGCAGCAGCGGAAACGGAAACAGCTGAACAGGAAGCAGCTGCTGCGCTTGAAACAAAATGACGACAATGCCATAAAAGGAAAAAATAGGACATTAAACAAAGCTAGAGAAACAAGTTCCTGCAAAGCCTTAGCAACAATTAAGAAATATATATAAATATATACCTATATTAAGAACACAGTGCCAAAAGCTTAACGCATATTATTAAAAGCAAAAACAAAAACAAAGAAAACTATATATATAAATAGAAAATTGGGCCAAGTTGTGTCCATTGTGCTTTGCTTTTTTGTGTGTGTGTGCGGCCCAAGAGAGAGCTAAACCAATGCATTTAGGTGCACAACAACAACGCCCCAAGCAACAACAACAACAACGCGAGCAACAAGAAATCCATCAGCGTAGACGCTTAGGACGACAACAATGTCATCCCTGCAACACGAATGGCATTTACAGGTAAGAAGACGATGCAGATGCAACAGCAGCAGCAGCAGCTGATGTTGTTTAACTCTTAACTGACTGACAGTTAAGGTCAAGAAACGCGCCTATGGTTTTTTGGGCCAAGCGCAAATCTATTGAGGTAGTAAGTGGTCTGAGGTCGCTTCAATTTGGTGAGCATGCGCCATGCCAAAAGAAAAAATATATAAAAAAGCACATAAAGAGAAATGAGCAAATGAGCAAATGGCTTGAATGCGTGTAAACAATGGAGTAGCCAATGCCAGTTAAGAATGGGTCAAAGCCGGCCAAACACTCGCCCATATGCGAATTGACCCCCAGTCATATGCTATATGCTGATACTCAGCCTCGCGTATATAGACATATATTTGTATAAGGTATTCCTTATATATATATATTATATTATTTAAAGCCTTAAGCATTTAGATAGATGTATAAGGCATAAACTTTTTCAGTTGCTTAAGGCTTATATATATATGTATATATATGTTCAGAATAATACTGCGCTTAAGGTTAAGAACGCAAATCTGAATAGATTTACATGTTTAAATGATACCCACAAATATTGCTTGCAAGGATGAATCAACACCTTCCACAGCCATAACTTTGTCAAAATTTATCCGATTTTCAAAATTAAGGGGTTTTCAGTCATGGTTTAGGCTCTAGAAAAATACTGCATTAAAAGCTGGAAACGCAAGTTTGGCTTGAAAATCATGCTCAAATGCTGCCTTAAGAAATCAAACTTGGAACGGTTCAAAACTTTTCATAGCAATAACTTTGTCAAAAATTATCCGATTTTTTTCTTTTCATGATTACAATTCAAGTTGAAAATTCACTTTCAGAATAATTGCTTGAAAAATCGCATAAAAAACGTATAATTGATAATAATGGATTAATTCGAAAACTGTTTTTTTAGCTCTTCACGGCTATAAGCTAGACCGAAATAACTAGCAGGATTGTAGCTCTTGAAGAGTTTACTAGCCCTGAACTGTAACCTTCCCTTGAAGTGCCTTTCGCTCATCAACAAGTTAAACTTTGTTAAAAGTCTGCCTGTCATTGGCAAGTTGGTCACCCAACCAGCCACCCACAGAACGTTTTTTTTCTTTTGTCATTCAATTGCGTCAGAGCCATGGAAAGTTGCGAAATTGAAAATGTGTGATACAAAAAGACGCATTTCGCCCACACACACACACACACACAGCAAGAGCTACACTTCCGGCTTAAGCCTGCAGCAGAATGCCTGAAGCTTAGGCTCTGACATCTGCCAAGGTCAAATGGGACGTTGAAGATGCTGCTGCTGCTGCTGCTGCCACCCAGCAGATGTTTGTAAAACGCTCAGCTGTCAACCGTCGAATCATTAGTGCAACTCTGCCATTATTGCAATTTGGTTGCATGTTTGGGGTTTTTGTTCTTCTATTTCGCCATTTGACGCCATCAATATGGCATGCAACCATTAGTGGCACGTCTGCTGGCTAACCCAATGGGAGAGTGCATGCATGAGTCACCTGATACCAGCAATGAGAATGAGAATCAAGCGACTTGCAGGCGGCATCAGTTAATAGCAGGACAAAAAATAGAAAAAAAAACGGCATTTAACGGCTTACGTGGCAAGTTGTTAGTACAAATGAAATAATGCTCTTAGCTGCATCTGCATAGCTATGCTACATATACATTAAAGTGTGCTTACGTGTCAAACTTTTATTTTATTGCATAGAGTTTTATGCTCTTTGGGCTCTATAAAAAGTAGCAGCTAATCAACGATTTTTTTTATTAGCTGCAAACAATTTTAGTTTATTGCCCATAAAACTAGAATTTTATGATTAGTTTCTGCAATATGCAAACTTTATTTTATATACTCCAACTTAAATGAAACCTTGAACTATAAATTATTTGTTAAAGTTTTACTGCTTGCAGATGTTGCACATTGAACATTTGCTTTAAGACTTTGACAACAAGACGCGTTGAGTGGTATTAAAAATTTAATTTAAGACTTTGAGAATAAAACCGAAAATTATATTAAAAAATAAAACTTAAAACCTTCACTTCAAAATTCCAGTAAATGGTTCTCAAAGCTGCACTTGCTATAAATATTTAACTTGAATACAAATTGTGGCCTTAAGTAAGCTGGAACTATGCAGTTGGGCGTGAACGACTGCGCCATACTCTATGCCCAGTGAAAGAACAGCTAAACGCTGCGACACTTGGGTAATTAATTGAAAACTGTATACGATATAGTTTTAAAATATATTTATCTTTGAAAAATACCTTTAAATTTTCTCCAAAATTTAGTTGCTTTAGATTTGTGGGGCAAGGTATTCAGAATTTGTTTACGATCCTGACAAGAGCGTAGCAGTAATTTACCTTCCAACGAATCTAGCATCTGCCTCTTGCTTTATATATAGTTTATCAATTTAATCTATAAAAATAATAATTCAGCTGCTTATCAGCTTCAAGAAAATACCCAAACTTGCACCATATCTTTTTTACAAATATTCTTAAAAAAATAGGAAAATAGAGAAAAAATGTAATCCTCTGATTGACCCCGACGTGATTTGAACACGCAACCTTCTGATCTGGAGTCAGACGCGCTACCGTTGCGCCACGGAGTCACTTGTTATGATCCGGCGCTGAATGTGAATTTGAATTTGAAGTGAACCGTTCGGCTGACGTTAGAAATCTAATTTTATTGATTTATTGACAAACTTGTTTGCCGCAGAGAGCAACAATCTAAAAATATGAACAAAACTTTTGGCACAGCTGAGCGACAATCAAAGAATTAAATTTAACTTTCTTATCGTTGTGTTTTCAATAGAATTATTTAAATATTTGCAGCAACAATTTAGCTGATAAAAAAGTACCATTTTATTTATAACAAGCAAGTCTTTAAAACTTTTAATCTTTATAAGCAATAATTGTGTATTGCATAAACATGATAAAACCAGTTTAGAAAGGTTTAAAGTGCTGCTGATTTCTAGCAATTGCTAAAGATATAGACATATATTAATATCTATGTATATTTCTTGCTCAGCAGCACAATTAAAAAAAAACCTGGCATGTAAGCAAATTACTTGCTTATTTTGTTACTTTATCGCAGCAATTTGTTTCGTTTAGTAATATTCTTATCAGAAATCAACCCTTGACTCCCGCACAACTGTGTTTTTCTACACCAGCCTTGCACTTGACCCTGAAAAGCTGGCAAGCAGCAGCAACCAGTGGAAGCGGAAAATGGAAAATAACCAGACGTCATGCCAACAACTCACACACAGCATGCAGATGACGAGGTTGAAAAGGGGGAAATCGTCTGTGGGGCGGGACAGACTAACAACAACAACAACAACAATAACAACGACACGAAACCGATTGCATCGATTTAACAAAACAACCTTTAAACCAAGCATAAACAAGAAAAAGTAACAAGAGCAAATAATTTGTACTAGTTGCAACAATAATTATATCAAAAATATGTGGCAAAAACGTTGAATCAGCAAACTGATTTGGGTTAGGGTATATAGTGAAAAGATGTATGGGTTATTTGGCTGGGCTGTTGTTGCAATGTTTGCTAAGGGTTGAACTCAATTAAGGGCTAAAGAATGGCATACATTTAAGTGCTGCGTCATGGCATGTAAAAAGCTCCATTAAACTCCATAAATAATTAGCTGGTTTGTTGTTTATTTTGAACAGACTACTTTAATTTACTTGTTTGCCGTTCTTTTAGTAATAATTAATTTTTAATTACTGAAGTAACTACTTGGCGAAGGTACAATTACTCAGCAGTTAGAGCGACAATAATGTCTTAAGCGGCAATATTAATTAAGTAATAAATGTTATTATAATTACATTTTAATTACTCGATGCAGGCACAATTACTTTGCAGTTTCAATTACTGAGGTAATTACAATTGCTTATGATTTTGAGGTACAATAGACGAGTTGTCAAGTTTCAAATCAGGCTCATTTACTTAGTAATTGGCTTACAAAATAATTAACTTAGTACTTAAAATATGTACGCAGCATAAATAAGGATGATCGCAAGCAGTTTAAAATGCCTGAAGGTCCTGCTTGCCATAAGGGGTTAACTCAATTAAAGTTTAACATATGGCATACACTAAAGAGCTGTCGGCGATATCGTATCGCTTAACCCTATTGCCATTAGCTTTAGCCCGAAGTTAATATCGCGTGTCACTCAGTCATTAGTTATGGCAAACAAATTAAGCCTAAGTTGCTGCTTCCTTAAGTTGTCAGCGGGCTGCTTGCATTTGGGATTGATGTGCATTAAATTGCTTATGCCATTTATTTATTTTCGCAGGGTTCACGGGGATCGGTTTACTGCGCGAGTGAACCGGACCCAGCTGGTGGAGTCCAGTACGAGTCGGGAGGGCTCGTTCTCAACGGTACTGCCGGTGCCGTACACAATGCCCATGTTGCCGGTTGCCAGCCCACAAGTGGTTCACTCTTCTCGGTGGTGTCGGCACCACCAGCGGCCCCGCTGCTGGCCCAGCTGGATGTCAAGCAAATGGAAGCAATGTGTGTGTCCTCTCCCTCGCCCAGCGCCTCACCAGCAATGCGACCCGCCACACTCAGCCTGGATGCACCCTGCTGTCCGCGCACCTTGCACTCCAGCCTGCTCGAGCATCAGATATCCGAACTGGAGGAGGATGACAACGAGAACCTGTTGACCATTTCGAGCATTACGGCCCGGCCGTTGATAGCCAAATCGCATGAGTTGCGCAAACAGCATCAGCAACAATTGTCGTCATCGGGTACGGCACGCAGCAAGTGCTTGAAACGCGCCAAGGAACTGGAGCGTGCTGCACCGCGTCGCAGCAAACAGCAGCTGGCCAAGGATCGCGACTCATCCACCAGCACGACGGAGAGCAGCGGTGGTGGTGTGTCGGAGCCACCGGATGGCGGCTATGGTTGGTTCATTGTCTTTGGTGCGTTCTCTGTGCAGTTTTGGGTCGCCGGACTGGTCAAGTCGTACGGTGTACTCTATGTGGAGATTATGGAGACATTTCCCAGTTCGACAGCAACGGTGGCCTCCTGGATACCGGCCATATTGTCGGCACTGTGTCTGGTGCTGGCACCACTCTCGAGCGCTCTGTGCCAGCGCTTCTCCTGTCGCTCCGTGGTTTTTGTGGGCGGCATCTTTTGTTCGCTGGGCATGATACTCAGCTATTTTGCCACCAATCTGCTGCACTTGCTCTTCACCTTTGGCATACTGACCGGTGAGTGGGATAAGTTGCATTTGCGTATCAGTTTTTAACTATAAGAGTGTTTAATTATCATTAATTACTTAATATTCAAGCACAATTACTTGAATAATTAGAAGACTTTTGTACAATTTATAATTTATTTGATAATTACTCAACTAACAACATTATTCATTTGAATTCATGACTAATTAATTAGTAATTGCTGAGTAATTAATTAGTAATTGCTGAGTAATTAATTAGTAATTGCCAACTATTTAATAATGTTTCCTCCTCCTTATAGGCATTGGTGGCGGTCTCTCGACCACGCCTGGCATTGTCATTGTTTCACAATACTTTGACAAGCATCGCGCTTTGGCGAATGGGATCTGTGTCTCGGGCACTGCAGCGGGCAGCTTCGTGCTGCCCATACTCATTAAGCATCTGGCTGAGAATTGTGGCTTCCACGGCACCTTACTCATACTGGGCGCGTGTATGTTGCACGTGTGCGTCTCGGCGACACTCTATCGACCCATCAGCGCTTATGCAGCGGAACAGGCACAGACCCTGGATGCGGCTAGTAAACCCCTCAGTGATGACATCAATCCCAGCACAACGGGCATGCTGACCACATCCACCTACTTGGACACATGTGAGCTGGGTGCCAAGGAGCTGAATGACAAGTTCATTGAGCATTTGTTTCTCGAGGAGTGCAAAAATCACTTGAACTACTACTCCAGCAAGCAACCTGGTGAGTTCGATTATCGATTCGATTTATGCATATTTAATATATACTTGGCTTTTGCAGCGCAAGATAAATCTGCGCAGGAGAGCGATGATGAGGTCAAGGACATCATCGGCGAGACCACGTTTATAAAGCCAATGAAAAAGGTGCGCAGTTCGGGTCTGATGCACTCAGTCGAGGATCTGAGCACAGACTCGACGTGGGTCTATCGCAAGCACTCCGGCAGCGATTCAAATCGGGGCAGTCGACGGCGTCGCAATGTATTCGCCAATGACGAGACGATTAGCAAGATTCAGGCACATCTGGAGAAGCCACTGTCGCCGCCCACCGTTGTGAGTCGTGGTCTCAGCAAAAGCATGGAGATACCCACGCCCTTCAGCAATCTCAGCGAGCTCAAACAGCACCAGCAATCGGATGGCAGCATTCTCGACTCACAGCTCTTGGAATCCACTGCAGCCTACGATGATGACAACGATGACGATGACAATGATGCCGCCGATGACGAGGATGATGATGAGCGGCAGTTGAAGCGCAGCTGTTGTGCCCGCATTGAAATGTATATTGATCTGAGTCTGCTGCAGGAGCCCAGCTTCATACTGATGTGCCTGTCCGTCACACTCATGTCCGTCGGCTGTCCCTATATGCTCTACTACCTACCTGCGCATGTTATATCCATTGGTGAGTATTCATTGAAGGTCAATCAAAAATTTCAATCTTATCTACGCCTTATCAAAAACAAACATTGAAAATAATTCGTAAATGTCTTTTTATAGCTGGGGGCTTATATATATTTCCGGAAGTTAATTCGAGCATACATAATATATAAAAGTATCTGGTATTACTCAATATACCCTTCCCTGACTTCAAACTCGAATAACCTTATCAAAACTGAAACCATTTTGATTCTAGAGCTTTTTATGTTTATTAAATGTTCTCTAATTGAATCATCAATAACTACTTAAATTGAAGCACTTAATCTTATCAGATTTACTGTCAAACCCAATATAAGTATATATAACTTTAAGAAATTGTAACTTTTTATATAGTTATTTAATGCAAATTCTTTCTTGCAGGTTACAATAAAAGCGAAGCTGGCTATTTGGTGGCCATCAGCGCCGTGCTGGACTTGTGTGGTCGCCTCGGACTGGGCTGGTTATCGGATCTGCATCTGTTCGATCGCAAGAAGACCTATACACTATGGTTAGTAAAAATGCGTACTTTAAATAAGTCGAATAACTAGCAAATGCACAGAAGATGAGTAATATATTGAACACTATTTCACTCTGAACAGAAAGTTGCTGTTTTGGTTTAATTGAAATTTCTTCTACTCTCACAGCATATTGGGCGCTGGTCTTGCGGTGCTGACAATACCCTTTGCAAGGACCCTCATCCTGGTTGGGCTCTCCGCTGCTGTCTACGGCCTGTGTCTGGGCAGCTGGTATGTCTTGATGCCTGTGTTGCTGGCGGATGTCTTTGGCACGGATCGGATTAGTTCCAGCTATGGCCTCGTGCGAATGTTTCAGAGCATTGGGGCGATATCGGTGCCACCGCTGGCTGGTCTGCTGAGGGATCTGTCCGGTGACTATGAGATCTGTTTCTACTGCATGGGCTCCTGCATGGTGTTGGGCTGTGCACCGCTAGTTGTGTGGACCATACTTGAGGCCAGGAATCATCGACTGTTCGTGCAGCACGACGATGACGAGGAGGAGGCCTAAATATTGGACACTGATGCAGCTTGTCTTGGTTCAGTTTGTTGCTTAACAGTTAGAGAAAATACAAAAAAAAAAACTAAAAAAAAAATGATATTTGTTGTTCGTGTTTAGTAGCAGTTTAGCAGTTAGACCGAAACATGTTTTCCAATAGCAGTACAAACGAAAAACAAAAAGAAAAAGAAAGAAAAGAAAAACAACCTGAGTTCGAATGCCTCACCGATAACGTTGATACTCTTTAACTACTTACAAACATATACTCTAACTTTTATTCAAGCCACATCATTTACTTTACACACACTCAACTCTCAGTCACTCCTGACTCAACACTTGAGTGCAATCCTAAGTTGCTCGCATTATTATACTAAATCATCTCGCTTGTCCTATGCAATAATAATGCAACAATTGTGTATTAAATAATGTTATTCACACAACAAAACTACAAAAACAAAACAAAAAAAGCGAAAATAAAAATAAAAACAAAAACCATGAAAAGCACCGAAAGTTGCGCAAAGAACTGAGTTAAAAAAGACATGAACACCAAAAGAAAAACTTAAAATTAAATGAATAAAAAATATATCCATACATAACTTTGTATAATGCATAAAAATAACAAATGTATTCAAAATATAAGTGTATCTGTATTTGTATGCCCAAAAAAATATATGAAATTAGCTGTAGGTTTACACGATGATGATCAAATATCAGAAAACATTATCCAGTTGCGAGTCGAAATGCAAGAACCCAATTTATCAAATCAAATTCGAACAGCAAATTCTCTGGGAGCATACTACAGAAATTACACATTAATCTAGTTGTATAATAGTTGTTGTGAGACATTTACCCAAAAACAAATGATTTAACAAAAATAAACAACAATTACAATTTGATGTTGGACTTTTAATGCCATCGAAATCATTTATTTTAATTGATTCATCAATATTCACTTTAGTCTAACTCGAATCTATCTTATCTTATCTTGCTTTGTCGATTTCACTCTTATCTTAGCTGATTACGATTAAGGTAAATACCTTTCGCCGAAGGGACAAATATGATACTTAAATTAAGATTCATTTTTTAGTCAAACAATTGAATGTTATTGAATAATAATTGTTAGCAAATTTTATAAGATTTATTTGTTGTCCAGCCCAAAATTTCGTAAGCCTAAAAAAATAATGACTTGAATATGCAAACGATGAAATTTGAACAAGAAACGTGATCGGAATAAAATAAACAGCCAGCGCAATGAACATAATTGTTAGATGTATGTAAGTCAGGGTCAATGAGAAGAAGCCTGTGTCGAACGTGCTCGTTCAGAAACCTCATATTATATCAGTATCAGTTTGGTAATATCAATCTAGCCTACGATTTTAGTAGCAAATCTATTGTAAACATAATACAAGCGAAAACATATAGCTCGATTTCAACATCATGATTTATACCGACAACTGTTGCTGCTGCATCGAGTTGAAATGCGGCTGTATTATTATAGCCATAGTCGATGTGATCATTCGTGGCGCAGATCATTTCATTGTGGATCGTAAGTAGTGAATGCAATTTCCAGTGGCTCTATTTGTCGATATTTTCATATCTGTTCATTCTCAGGTGATTCTCTGCTGGGCTATGCAACAATACTAACAAGCGGACTCTATCTCATCAGCTGCATTGTACTCTTAATTGGCGCACTGCTGGTGGGTATTACTAAAATCTATATAGTTAGATAATACTAGCAGTGAACAAAGGTTCCAATTCCGATTCTTGTACGCAAAGTCTTAAAAATTCCGGTTGAACTTCCGATATTCTTGGAAACAGTTTTACGGTATTCGGTTACGTAATCATATCTTGATTTTTACGTTATTCTAAAACTAAATCGGTTCCAATTCCGATTCAAATTCAAGTTTGACACCCTGCTTTATACTCTTTAGTATTGCATAATCATCTCTCATTCCAATTGCAGTCCATACGCTTTTTACTGATACCCTATATGGTTGTCGCCCTCATACACATCATCATCTTGACTTGGGAATGCGCTTATGTCATCCTGGTGGATTCCTTTTATGATTTCGTATTGTTCGATGTGTTGCAAGCGGGTAGGCAAATTGAATATATATTTTTAGCGTAATATCTGTGGAGACTAATTGTATAAATGTCACAATTTAGTGTTTAGTTTATACTTCACACTGGTTGTCTATTCCTTCTACGATACTTTATAGCGCTGATCCGGGGGCTGATCGATAAAAGCTATAAGAAGATAAGAAAAGAACTTTCCAAGTGCCAGCTGACAGACTTTAAGCAGCTTTATTTATTATCAGTCATATTCAATTTAAATTTATGTTATTCGCTCAATAAAGTAAAAAATTATGCCCAGCGTATCTTTAAGATGGATTTGTTTAATAACAAGAAACTCAACTACAACATAAATAATATTTACACATGTCTTGTTTTGAGTTTTTTTTTTTTTTATCACTAGAACTGCTCGTCGAGGGTGCGTGGTGCTGGCGGTGCACCATATTCATCGGCGGGCGCTGAGGCAGGTGGCCCGTATTGTGGTGCTGGCTTCTGTTGCTGTTTGTACTTAATGAAATAGACCTCCGGCTTGCTGGGCTCCGTCGGCTCTGGCGACGGCAGAATGACGGGCAACTGCTCCTCGGGCTTCTTTACGAGCACATAGACCAAGGTCTTGTGCTCATCCTGCACCGGTGGTGGCAACACCTGACGCACTGGTGTCGGTGGATTTGGTGCCTTGATGAATATGATCTTATAGTGCTTCTTGGGCACCGTTGTCTGTATGGGCGATGAGGCCGGATAGTATTCCGGCTCCTCGGGCGGCACATGCACATAAACGTTCTTGGTGACAATCGACTCGGTCTTGGGTGGACCATAAAATGCAGCTGGTGCGCCATAAGATGGTAATGGCTGTTGCGGCGGTGGTCCGTAATCCTTTTGTGGTGCCGACGGCGGTGGTGCGCCATAGCGTGTCCTTGGTGGCTCCGGACGTGCACACACAATGCCCACCAGGACGAATAACAACGCCACTTGTAATTTCATTGTATCTGTAACTGTATCTGTATCTGTATCTGTTCAGCTCGATGGCTCGCTGTCGAATGACTCGATTGTCTCAGGTCATCGCTGCATTATATATATATATATATATATATATATTTTTTTTTTGTTGGATCGTATCGTGATTTTTTTGTTTGCTTGCCTGTTTTGTTTGTTTGTGTAACCCGCATTTTATTTTGTAGCGAAGCGAACTCTTTGCATAATATTTCTGATGGCTTCCCAATCCGTTACGGAGGCGTCATCATTGTCACCGCTTGCCGTTTCGCATACAAAATGAGTTTCGAATCGAATCGTTTTCGATATTGAAAACGAAATTGCAAACACACAAAACAGTGCAACCCACTAACTGACTCCGCCCCACCCCGTTAACCACTCGATTTGTTGGGCCGGGCACGTTCTGTGCCTTTTCTGGACTTCCCGGCCTTTTTTCTGTCTGCTGCTATTTGCCAAAATCAAAACCAAAAAAAAAGAAAATCGAAAAAACAAATTAACAAGTCGACTGTGTTACGTGTTTTTAATATGCTTGTTATTTATGATATAACATCTGTTGGTGGGTGGGTAATGATCGAAAATACCGTTGCTAGGCCATGGACGGTCATTGCAACCGATTTTCAATATGATATTTTTTTATATTGTTTTTGAGGCCTACGCTGAAGTATGCTAAACTCATTACAGGCTGCCGCATTAAGAGCTGATTTATATACTATAATCGTATTAAAAAATCATATTTTTTTAGTTGGTTTTACTTTTAGATAACGTTTTTTTCTATATCCTTGCAGAGGATATTGTAATTTTTGTCGGGAAGGAGACGTCTCCGTTTCCACACAGCATAACTAAGCCCTCCGCCTTAAAGCTATATATTTAGCTGCCATAGGAACGATCGGTCGACTGATGATTTCTTGTAGGAAAAGTTAACCGGATCAAATTTGCTAAGTACAAATTTTCCTTCAATTTTGGATTATGATATCATATAGGTTACATAAAAATGAGCAATCGTCGTCAAGTTTAGGGTATGTAATATTTGGCTTGCTTAAAATAGTTAGCTTTTCGTGTTTTCTTTTAATTATTGACAACACTTCCCATAAATCCACAAAAATAAAAATAATGATATTTGTATAAATTTATATACATATATATATATATATATATATATATATATATATAGTATAGTATAAGGTTTTAATCACACATCGTCTCAACACTTTTTGTTCTGTCAAAAAGTACAATTACTCCATATTTGTTGTCAATCTTTAGTAAGTTTAACTTAAATTATATACACAATTTATATACAACACAAACTTAAAATTTGCAAAGAGGTATCCGATTATTAGCATTAACTTTGGTGGCAGCTGCAAGATGATCTATTTGCAATATTGTTGCTTCTGCATCGATTTGCGCCTTGGCACCTATATTGTAGCCGGCAGCGATATATTGATGGATTTACTATTCGGTATTTTCATAGCAATATTTGGCGAGTCGGGTGAGTCGATAAATGCTGATCTCAAAATGACTTAACTTATATATATATATATATTTGTTAGGCATACCCGATCTGGGCCACAAGCTGTTCTGCGTATTTATGCTGGTGCATCTGGTAAGCACCATATTGTTATTGTATGGCGCTTTGAAGGTAAGTGTTCAGTATCAACTCTGTGCAATCTATGCAGTGTTATATTAATTAATAACTGGCAGCTACGTCCGGGCTTAATGCTGCCCTATATAATAGTCACATGTATCAAGGTGCTGGCAATGGTTATACTACTCATAGCAGACATAATACTACTTATCTGGATACCAGTTATAGTGATCTATGTGGTTATGTTTTGTAAGTTGCGCAAAGTTATAAGAAAATATATGTATACTTATATTGTATATTATATATATGATTTTACAGTTATTGGTCTGTATTATTGGCTGGTCGTTTATTCGTTTTATGCAGCCCTGGGCGGCGATCTGTTCATCTAAAGAGGAGCGTTTGCAGCATTTCAAATTCTAATCTGTATGTCAACTACTTTGCCCTAACCATCATGACAAATATATACCGAAATATATATATACACAATTATATTCAATATAGAAAATTTTAAGTAATCCAAAAAAGCCGGGAAGTAACAATGGTCCGTGTGAAAAATTGTTGCTTTTATCTAAGCTTGCGGCGTGGTTGTTTTGTTATTGCCGTCATCGATATGATTTTTAATATTATTCTTGTCGCGTTTGCTCCTGGTAAAATATCAATGTTGTCTATCGAATTGTATTCATCTTTATCTTATTTTTAAATTCTGCTTTTTTCAAACAGAACAATTCGCACAAACTGAACAGGCAATGGCAATTTGCCACTGCATCGGATGTGTCATGCTGCTGATCGGGGCATTCTTTGTAAGTGCAACAGCCAACAACAAATGATGTGGCCAACAACACAATGTATAGTCTGCTTAGAGGTTTTTTCTTTGATTTTCGTTTCAGCAATCAACGGTACTCCTACTATTCTATTTAATCACGTGTTTCGTCAACACCACCATCGATATCGGTGTCATAATTATGTCTGCCCTGGACTATGGGCCGTCTAGCTTATATGTGATTATCTTGGGAGTCGCCATCGTATGTAAGTTCTCAAAACTAACTGTTCAGTTCAAAAATGAGATTCCCATTCACATTTTTATCTTTCAGGCTGGAGCTCTTATACATGGCTCGTTGTATATTCGTATTATCGTCTAATTAACTCTCGAGATGACGAGACAACTTATTAATGATCGATTTAAGCTTAACGTAGAATCTGTGATATTTCATTTATTTTCTCATCTGCGTACGTCTCATGCGAGAACAGATAAAATATCATTCATTTTATGACAAATAAATGGATACATATAACTTGGCCACCCCTATAAAGAAAATAGAACGATGAACCACTTGTTCAGTTGGGTAATGAAAATGCTTCGCAGAAGACTTAATTGGTGTCTTTATGGACCAACTTTCTTACATCACGCCTAAGACATAACCCACTTTAGTATATACTTGTGTGCTCCTTGAGACTGTTGTTAATCGATTCATAATTCAAAAAATAATGGCATACCATGGCATCAGTCTCGAAATTTCCCGACCTCTGAGCTCCCTGGCAAGTCTGCACAATTAGTATTATCTTGACCGCAGCTGTATATGTGAGAAAAATGACGCTTCCACTGAAGTCTTATCAATGACGCTCAATACTCAATACTTTGATACTGAAGGTTTCGGTCGACTCTCTCTTGTTGTTATTATCTTGACGATATTTAAAAAAAAAGTCTCTATCATTAAAAAAAACGTTTAACAAATATCAGTATTATCACTTTTTGTGCTTTTATTATATCAAATTTTGAACTAAAACGCATAAATATTGTATAATAAAAAATTAAGCAATGCTCACACACACAGATGATGTCCTGAATTGTCTTTGGTCCATGTGTGTAATTTCTCAGAACTAAAATGAGCTTCTCTTTCAGATTTTAGTCTTTCAGGCTGGAGGTCTTATACGTGGCTCGTTGTGTATTCGTATTATGGTGTAATTAACCCTCGAGATGACGAAACGATTTATTGATGATCGATTTAAGCCTAACTTGGAATCTGTGATATTTAATCTATTTTTCTATTCTGTATGTGTGAAAATAGTTAAAATACCATTAACTGTTGTATAAATAAATGTGAGAATGCGATAAGATAATCGACTTTGTTGCTGTAATAGTTCATGTTGGCTGCCAGCTAAACCTATATCTCGTTGTTATCTGTTTATGATTTACAATTATGAATAACTATTTGTGTCCTTATCTGGGCTCTCTGGATCTCAGAAATATTCAGTTTGCTTGCAGTCTTCAAAACATAAAGTTTACTTTAGATGCACTGTCTCGAAGTCGGCTCAAATTATTTCAGGAGTACCGCAGGAAAGTCATCTTGGCCTCTTCACGGTGTTTATAAATGACTTGTCATCTGTTATAAGTCTCTCTCTGGGATGCTGATAATGCCATTGATAATGGTGAAATTTATTCTTCTAAGTTAATCAGCCAACATAATTTTGTAGCTCCGATCAGAAATACAAGGAAATTTATGACTCTCTCTTTCTCTCTCTCTCTCTCTCTATTTCACCTATTTAAGATTTTATGCTCAAACTATAATGAGTTTTTCCCTTAATAAGTTGTATTTCTTCTATTAAAACTGTAGTGTTATGTCATTTGTCTAGCAACTCTTGATCTTAGCAGGACCAGGCTTCGTGTCGTTGTCAACTTCCAAGGGTTAGTTGGGAATCTCGCAAGGAAAGGGCACACTCCTAATATATAAGTATATTCTAAATGGCAGCCTGCTTAGACGTAATCTCCAAACACGTATTTAGTGGACATTGTGCTGGTGACGGACGGAACTTGACCATCCCTATAAAGAAAGAAGAACGATGAGCCACTTGTTCAGTTGAGTAATGCAAATGCTTCGCAGCAGACTTACTTGGTGTAGCTCTGAACCAAATTTCTCACAACCCGCATAAGGCTTTCAATGTCCACATTTGTTTCATTGATGAGGACCTCGCACAGCGTTTGAATGAAGGGAGTGCCGCTATTAAGGCGATAGGAGACATAACCCTCGTAGGTGCTGTAGCACTTTAGTATATCCTTGGGTGCTCTTTGAGGCTGTTGGAAAGTGTGGTTTGTTGTTGTTGTTAATCGAATCATAATACATAAAATAATAGTATTACCTGTATGGCATCAGTCTTGAACCTTCCCGTCTCCTGAGCACCCTTGCAGGCCTGCACAAAGAGTATTTTCGGTTTGTCCTGCAGTGTTCGATTCCGCAGCAGGGGAAAGATGATATCGTCATTCAGATTGTATTCGCCATCCTTGGCGGCAATTACATCATTGCGGTTTCCATGACTCAGTATGACAAGGACCAGCGCGGAGCGATCATCGTAGTTTTTCTGTTCCACTGCGAATAGTCAGTTGAGGGAAATCAGTGAGACGGAAAACGGAATCATTAACCAATTGAAATTCAGAATCATTAACCAATTGAAATTCAGAATCTAAACTGAAATCTTAATCGAAATGCAATATTCTTGAAGAAGCAATAACTCGAACTGATATTATTATAATTATATTTCGTTTTGACACCCTTTCTTTTGAATGCTTCTAAAGATGACTTACATTTGCGCACTTTGTTATTGACCTCCTTAACTGTTGCATTCTTAATGACTTCCACATTGCATTTAAGCTTCCGGAAGGTGTCACCCAAGGCTTTTACATCCTCGGCACTGCCTTCACGATATTCAGCGTTATTGTCAAATTTCTCCTGATTAAAAATGATCACCTCGGCTGGCTTTAGCTTTTTCTTGGGTGTTGCCACAACTTTGGTTGGCGGTAGGTTAGCTGTCATCGTGGGCTTCAGTACACCATGTGCATCATGGGAGCTGGCAATACTTGCCGAGCGTGATTTGGGCACCGCTCCACTACTCCTGGGATTCAGACTGATAAAGGGTGGAGGCACAGTCACCTTGGGTGTCGAAAGCGTTGGCCTGGTCACTGTTGGTTTAATTGTTATGGTGCTGCTCAGAGTGGGCTTACTGAGGCTTGAGCTGCTCACAGTGGGCTTACTAAACACTGAGCTGGTGATAGTGCTGCTCGTCTTATTGGCATAGGGCGACACATAGGTGGTGGCATCGACTGGCTTCAGGGCAAATGGCGATACATATGGCTTAGAGATAGTTGTTGTTGTTGTTGTTGAGTTTGTTTTTGGTGCCCAGCTGGTTTTCTGGGTGGGTTTCAGCACCACGCGCTTCGCCTCCACATGCTGGGTAAAAGTGCGTCCCTGTTTCTGTGACACGGTCGTCTGCTCCATGCGGACTAAGGTGTTGGAGCGTCTCGCATCTGACACATTGTGTTTAAATGATGGCGTCGAACGTAATGCGACCCCATTCAGACTGGATGGACTCATACGCTTTGCGCCCGATGTTGTCGTTGTTGTTGTTGTTGTTGCCGTTGCAGTGCCACCATTCATACGCAACTGCGCCATGAGCTCTTCCAGTTCGGCCGGATTTGGTGTGCGACGCGTTATCATTTCGGTAACTCGCGCCTGCTGGCGATGCGTCACCGTTTGACGTGTGGACGTAAAAGTGACCGTATTCTTATTGCTATCGAATATCGTTGAATTCTGCACAGCCGTGTTTGTTGTTTCCGTTGCGGCGCTCGTCGTATTAACTCGGGTGCGTGGATCCTGCCGGGCCAGTGCCTGTCGATCGGTGCTGAAGCCCCCGTCGTCGGTGGATTTCTTTTTACTCCACCAACCCATTGTTTTCGCTTTCTCTCTCGCGCTCTCTCTCTCTCTCTCTTTTCCTGTCTTTGTCTCCAAAGTAGGCCGCGCAGCGTTGCGTCCGGTTCAACGTTCTCAAAGACACTGAGCGCTTTTGTAGCTTTTGCTTTTCGGCGATAAGACTACAAGCGAACGTGGGATTCACTCTCATATTCGGTTTTCGCTCTCTTTTCTTGCTGTTTAAGAGTCTGTCAGCAACTCTTTTCTGTGATTACTCATACGCAGAGCGTTATCAATGCTGCTAATAGCATCAAATCTATTTACCTGTGGGTAAGCCCCCATTTCAGCAGTGCCTGGCATTAAATAGACTTCAATCGGAAGCATTATTTACACATATAATTATATTCAAGAAAATTAACTATCATTACTGAAAGATGTGTATAGCAAGACCAATTTTTATTTTACTCGAACTTTCTGTCAAAGTTGTCTCTGTAACTCAATCAATATGTTATATGTATATATTTTACATTTATTTTAATGTTTGGGGTATTTGTGGATGATGTTAGTGAAGTTTGCCAGTAACTTTATCTCAATTGTTTTAGACACATGTACACAGTTTCATCATACATACATACAGTTGCGGTTAAGCTAATAGTGATGGTACTTCATAAAATGAAATTTCTCAATAATTGTGTAGCTCCTTTCATAATCTAATCGATTCAGTGAACAATTACATATCTAGTTTTAAAAAACATACTTTAGCCTCAGGGAAAGCAGAGATGTGATAAATTTCAACAATTTATCTATATATCAATCTTCAGTATTGATTGCCAATATTTTCGAAACATGTTATTATTTTGACCGCAGCTGTACAAATGAAAAAGTACCGCCTTATCAACCGGTTTCCGGGTTATATATATACATACATAGTTGTTAGTTAGTTGTTCCAAAGTTAACGCTAAAAAAGTTGAGGTTCAACTAGCCATTTGTGAAAATTATTCACACACCTCTTCCCAGTCAGCTTACAGAAAATAACCACACAAGAAATAACTACTTTAAAAAGAAATCAACTAACCTTTTAGTATGTATGTTTTTAACCTTTGTATATAGCCAAATATAATTAATAATAGTCGAAATAAATCATCTGTTTATGCATGACAAAGCACTGACAGAAATCACCTGATCAACAAATCCATATCTATTTATAAACTACTGAAGACCACTTACCTTGCGATATGATCGTAGCAGAAATAATTGAAAGAAATGCAACTTTTGTGAGGCATTTTCAGTTTTCTTTGTTTATTTTCGTTGAAAACTGAAGCTCTTTTTGGTTTGCGACCAAATCCCAATTTCCAAGAACTTATAAAACAAAACAAAACGATCAAAAGCACAATAAACAAATAATAAAAATGCCGCTCATAAGCAACGCTCTTTAAAGAGCAACAACTGCCGCGCTCGCTCCCTCGCTCTCTTTGCGCTCTCTTGCTCTCTGCGCAGCGCTCTCTTAAAAGGCATTTCATTGATTTTCTGTAGCGGCATTTTCATGCATGATTTTTAATGGCATGCACTCAAGAACAAAAACAATAACAATGACAAAAGCAAAGGAAAGCTCTCTGTTGTGCTCAGATGTTGTGTTGACGCTTTTCGAATTGTTAGTGCTGCGACAGACATAGAATCGTGCGGAGAGTTGGCGACAACAATTTGTTTTTTATTTTAATTTAAAGCGAACTTTTCCAAGAAAATTAAACAACAGGTGACAAATGTTTCGGGCTTAATCGCGTGTGATAAAAATAAATTATATCAAAATCAGATTTAAGTGTGATTTGCTTAAATCAAATCGTGAATTTGACAACCGCTTGTGAAGTGAAGTTAGGTGATAAGATAAGATGACAATGCCGGCTTATCAATTTGGTGCAATAATGCAAGCCAAGCAGATAACCTTGAGAAGACAGCTTAAGGCCACAGCCTATAACCCCCCTTTAAGATGGATTTTGCGTTTTACTTTGTAGCAATAATAACAATAATAATAAAATATTTTTAAAAAAATCGAAGGCCAACAAGCTGCCAATTTTCCCATTCATATATGGCTCATGCATTTCAAATGTGCTGGAAATGCAATTCAGCGAGCCATCGTTGAAATAAAATGCCAAACAACAATTATTAATTTTACAATATCAAAAGTCCAATATTGATTAATTGAGGTGACCAGTTTCAAGCAACTTAATTGGTGCTTCAGTTTTTCAATAATTGGAATTGCCATTTTCAATGACTTCATCATAATTATAATAAATTCATAGTTTTCAATCACATTTTCACATGAATTTCGTCAATCGTTATCATCAATCATGATGGAAGCTTGTCTGCGGTCAGCATACTTCAAAGCGCGACTGTGGCATGCAACAATTTGCATCAATTGGCATAGATTGCATGCTCCTTAACAGACATGCAACTTTACCAGCTGAGATCCATTTCGGATCTGCGATCGTGTTCAGTGCTTATAATTGTTCTGATGCCCAAGAAGTTCAATTCCACTCAATTTACATCATTATTCAGCAGAGTAACGTAAAAGCAATTCAAATGCGTTAACTAGCTAAAAACCTGTTGTTAGCAATTGCCTTGTTATCTTTATGCAAACTGTAAATGATATAGGTTTTTAAATTTTATTGACTATTTTGTTGTGATCTTAAGTGGTAAATAAGTGTAATTTTTATTATCTTGAAAAAAATAAACTTTTTTAATAATTTTTCTTACAAAACATTGAAAAACAAAAAAAAAAAAGTAAGCGTTTCACGGCGAAAATTTTGCTGAGTAAAACACAACTCGACGTCACGTAATCAGTTGGAGATACCCCAATCGTATATGCACACTCACGCTCACACACACATACACACACACAATTTGTATTCTAATTTTCGTATCCGCTTAGAGGGGTTTTATTCTCGGCACGAGGAATACTAAGTACAAATTTAAGTTTGCATCGTTTTTCAGATTTAAAACTAACCACAGCTTTAAATCAATCATTTTTTGAAAAGTACAATGTTTTTTATGCCCGTAAGCATATATATTCTTGATCAGCATCAAAAGCCGAGTCGATCTAGCCATGCTTGTCCGTCTGTATGAAGAAAGGGCTGTCAGAGACTAGACAGACTTAGAATTTTGAATATAATTTATCGATAACATATAGCTAATATCGATGAAAATCGAAAACAATAAAAGTGGCAATCGTAAAAATATTGCCTGATAGTATTAAAGTATACCAAATCTGCACATAGAACTATAAACATTTCAATAAGATCGGCTAGGAAACGCAGATTTTGTTAACCAAAAGGTGTTTTTATACTGAACTATGTGTTTGGGGTGTCTGCTAGTCGAGTTGATTTATTATTCCCTGTATATTTAAGAGGATCCCGGTAGAAAGAACAAGAGCGCGTGTCCGATCACAAAAGATCGATCGATTTATCGGACAGGTGGCAACGCCACGCAATATCAGCATTTTGAAAAACAAAAAAGATAAACACAACAAAAAACTGTTGATTTGATTCCGAGCGCTTGCGAGCATGGCCGAATCAGTTGCTGCGATGGACTTTGACGAGATACTCACGCAAATTGGTGAATTCGGTCTCTATCAGAGAGTCAACTATTTACTCATCTGCCTGCCAGTGCTATTTGCGGCTGCGAACAGTTTGTCGTATGCATTTACAGCCGGCACACCAAAATACCGCTGCCGCATCGAACAATGCGACGATGAGGATGAGGATGATGAGGAGCAATTGGCACAATATCAAACCGATTGGCTGGATGTGGCTATTCCAGGCACGAGAGATAAGCACGGTTATTTCACACCCAGCGATAGTTGTTTGCGCTTTGCTACCAATGAGAGTGAAGAGTTCGGTGTGCAACAGTCGGCAACAACATGCGATGCTTCGATGTTTCTGCCACAACACAAACCCGAACGATGCCGGCAATTTGTTTACGATATGAGCGAACACACAATTGTCCAGGATTGGCAGCTGACGTGCAAGGAGAATGCCTGGAAATTGGCCTTTGTGGGCACCACACACTTTGCCGGTCTCGTCGTGGGCACGGCGCTTTTTGGTTACCTTGCGGATCGGTGAGTAAATTTCCATTTAAATATCGATACATTATCGATACACATGCTGCATTGAGAGCAATAGAGAGCTCCAATTGAAAAGAGAAACCTTGCTATTGAGTCCGTTTAAAAGCAATATCTGCTCTTTATGTGAATTTAACTGGATTCCTATTCGTCCTATACTATATTATTCCTATACTTCGTATTGTTTGATAATATTTCTTTTCCAAACGTTTTTCTTTCTATCCACGAGTTTAGTCATTTGGCTATTTATTTTTTCGCTCCTTATTAGCATTTTACTTTGTGGTATTACTGCATTTTTATCTGGGTTTCGCCAATCCTTGCAATAAAAGTTCGACCATTTTACATAGTTTGAATACCTCCATATTTATAATATCCTATATTATTATATTTGTTTTTATTTATTTTTCTTTTTTTCCATTTTAAATTTGTACTAAACACTCCTAAGCATTCCTTGCATAATCTCACAATAACAGATTCGGACGTAAGCTGATCTTCGTCTTCTGCACCATCTTCATGGGCTTAACGGGCATTGGTCAGGCTCTGGCCTGGGATTATTCCAGTTTTTTGGGCTTTGCACTACTGAATGCTGTGGGCACATCCGGCGTTTATCCGTTGGCCTTCATAATTGGAGTGGAAATGGTTGGACCACGCAAACGTGAAATGACCTCGATTGTGCTCAACTATTTCTATGCGGTGGGCGAGGCGCTGCTTGGTCTGGCTGCCTGGTTGCTGACCAATTGGCAGGCATTGCAATTGGCCCTCTCCATACCGCCGCTCTTCTTTGTCGTCTATTTCTGGCTGGTGCCGGAATCGGTGCGTTGGCTCCTGGCGCGCAATGAGCACGAGAAGGCGGGCACAATTATACGGAAAGCGGCGCACGTTAATCAGCGGGAACTTTCCCTCGAACTTTTGGCAAGTTTCAAGCAGCAGCAATTGGACACAACGGATGCAAAGCAGTCGCAACAGCTGCAGCCAGAGCAACGCCAGATTTGGCCATCTGTCAAACAGGTGTTCGCCTCGAATACGCTAATCTGGCGTTATACGAATCTGCTGTTTATATGGTGCGTATTTAATAAACAGTTCTTTGACCAGTTTTCCCAGATGGAGTACAATTTCTATTATTGCAGGGCTGTCAACGCCATTGTTTTCTATGGACTCTCGCTGAACTCGACCAATCTGAGCGGCAATAAATATTTGAATTTTGCCTTGGTCTGCCTAATTGAAATACCCGGCTATTGTTTGGCATGGGTGTGTTTTTAGTTTTCATATACAAAAGATTGCTCTATGTATATATATACATATATATATATCTTCCTCTCTCTCTCTCTATATCTGGCAAACTAAAAATAGTTGTGTCTACGCAAGTTGGGACGCCGTCTGGCATTATCCGGCTCCCTGATGCTCTGTGCCATCACGTGCGCAGCCAGCGGCTATTTGACCACGGGTAGGTTAAATCATTATCCATTTCATTTGCATATTTATATCTTACGTTCAATCTTTCTTGCATGCCTACTAAGTTTTTGTCGATAAGAAAAGACGTAAAGTGTTTTGATCTTAGTGTGTGGAAAATTGTATTAAACAGAAAGTCATTCTAGATTTACGGTTAATTAGTACACAACACGTTCCGGGTTTCGATCTATTATGCAAAAAATGTAAAGTGACTGTAACCAATTTGTTAATTCATTCAAGTCGTGTACTGCAATTTATTTCATTTTATGACTTGATGGCATATTTAAGTTTTCCACACACAGTTTCTAACTGATTATAAACAATTCAAAAAATAAAGAAACACATTTCAATTTGTAAAACAGGTGCAAATTGGCTAATTGTAACGCTCTTTTTATTGGGGAAACTGGGCATTACCTCATCGTTTGCAGTCATCTACACGTATACGGCGGAAATGATGCCAACGGTTCGTATATATAGAAAATATAATCACAATGCATTGAATACATTTATATTTGCAGGTTATACGTAGCGGAGGTGTCGGCGTTATGTCCACCTTTGCACGCTTTGGTGCGATGCTGGCACCCTTTGTCCCACTACTGGTAAATCTTACTATTTTTACTTATATTATTAATTCTTATATAAACCTCTTACTTCCCCCAGGGCAGCTACTATGAGCCTTTGCCGCTGCTGCTGTTTGGCGTTGTCTCAATGTTGGCCTCAATTTTGTCGCTGCTGCTGCCCGAAACATTTCACAAGAAGCTGCCCGATACGGTCAGTTTACACACTCTATATAATATATATCTATATTAAACATTTATTTTGTTAGGTTGTCGAGGCCATTGCATTGGGCAAGGAAATGGAGCCGGTGTCGGTGGAGAGTGCGGACAGCTCGACAGCATTGGGAAATAATGTACAACATGAGTCCATCATTTAAGCATGCGAATTTAATAGTATTGTTAACTCTTTTAGTACAAAGCACTAGTAGTTATTTAGTTAATCGTATATATATATATATATATACATATATATATATATATTCAATTTGTACTTAGCTGTAAACCAAAACTTAAAATGTAGATCAGATTTTTAATTGCCTCCTTCGAGAGTTACTTTAACTTTTTGTATCACCCTTTTTATTTGTAAACTAAAAATATTAAAATATGCATTTGTTTATGACTATTGACAATGCTTTCAGCATTTCTCGTTATTGCTGGCCGAAGAGACCCTCAAATAAAAGTGGATCGGTGATGACGCCAAAACGATGCAGCAGCTTGAAACGCAGCTTGTCATCGTTGCGCAGACAGATGGGCTGATAGAAGCCACCCAGCCGCCTTGTGCTGTGTGGTTCCCAATCCGGCAGCAGGTCCTCAATATCAACCAGTTGTTCTTTGCGCCTGCCCCAAAAGTCCACATAGGCCAGCCTCAGCTGATCCTGATGATCATTGATGTAGATGAAACCAATTATGTTTCGGGCCACATAGCTGCCCAGGGAGAGCGTCACCAGGCCACTAACGCCAATCGCTGCATAGATGCCCAAGGCATCCTCTGACACCTGACCGGCTTGTTGCAGTGCAAAGGCTAGTGGTGTTCCAGCCACCGTGACAATGGCCTGATAAACCTTTAGACGATTAAATGCAGCAATCAGACGTATTAGGGGTAGTTTATATATGGGACGCCATTCCGTAAAGCCAACTTCTAATTTAGATTTCAGATTTCTCTCTGTTGTTGTTGTTGCGCTTTCCGTGAGTGGCGTGCTTGCATAGCACCGGCTGCTAATGCTGCTACAGCTGGTCACACAATATGACAGTGGCAATTTGATGGCACCTGATCTGCCTAATCGTTGTAGCATTGTAAATTGTTGTTTCTATGTTATAAATTTTGCATAGATTATGGTTTTGTTTATATAAATACGCCACTCACTTGTTGTTGTTTGGCAGCTGTCAGTTAAACAGCTGTGCTTGCTTTTTAACTCGAAATGGCACTGTTCAGCGTGCACTGTTATCGATCATTTAAAACGCTGTTGTTGGTCACACACAATATGTCACGTTATACTCAAAATGGCACGTTACATTCAAAATGGAAAGTTAAATTCAAAATGGAACTGTTAGGTGTGCACTGTTATTGATCGTTTAAAAAGCTTTTATAACGTATAAATTAAAAAAACAAACTCAAGTATGCTAATTTTTAATTAAGTGAAAACTTAAATTTTAAAACTGGTCAGACCGGTCAGATCTATTCGTCGACATGCGTAAGACAGCAGAAAAGAGTGCTAACTGAGCTTTTGGATGTCAGCTGTTTGTCTGCCTGTTTATGTCGTAATTATAATTAACGTGAGCTTGCTGAGCATTCAAGCATTGAGCATTGAGCACTAAGCATTTGTTTAATAATAGACCCACCAGATGAGCGAGATCACAGCCCAGAGCAATAATTTTATTGAGGCGTTTGCTCAGTCTTTGTCGAGAGCCCGCTTATATTGTATTAGGGGCCTTCTGTGCCGGTCGCTTTTGGCCAGTTAAAAGCCAATTTAGATAGTATGTATTCTGTTCAAATCAAGTGAAATGTAATTGTAAGCAGATATGAAATAAAATGAATTTGAAAGTTGAGACAACATAACTCAAATAAACTCATAAAGACTAAAGTTACCGAAATTTCAAAGATTCCAAAGACAATTATGGTCTAATGCGCAATAGCAAATATGGTTTTGTTAAAAATATAATTCAAAAATTCGCCACTAAAGGTTAAGTAACACCTCAGCTAATCAATACAAAAAAAAAGACACTTTGAATTGATATTTGATTGTCACTTTCTGTTGTTTAACAAGCTGCAAATATTTTTAGCACATTTTTGGCGTGCTGCGAATTCGAAAATAGTTTTCAACTATGTTTTGTTGGTCTGTTTGTGAGTGTGCTGTGTATGTGTGTGTGCGTAATATGTTTCTTCTTTTTCACAAAAAAAAAAAAAATATATATATATATATATGCAGCATGCATGTAAATATATTTGTACACATCAAAGAAATAAAGAAAAACCAAAACAAAATAATGCAATTTTTTACTGTGCAAAATATAGACGAAATCTGTCAATTTGGATATAATGCAGAATCCTTATAGGTGAATTCAGTCAGCTATATTTTAATAGAATTGCACAAAAATGTCAAATTTACAATGAGCTTCTCAAAATTAAGAAAGATGGCCGATCATAGGCACGAAAAACTGGGAATGTTATAGAGTCATCCAAGTTAGCTAGTGATTATTCAGTAAAATTCATTTTTGATTTTTCTCTGGCACAAGGAGGATCAGCATGTCGCTGACATCGCTGGGCATCAGCGCTGGCTTCATGGTCGGCTGCTGCATTGCGGCACAGATTGCGCGTCGGGTGAGTCGAAGACTGCTGAACAGCGATGGAATTGTGCCCGTGCTGATGAACGAGGCCATTGCCGCTGCCGAGTTGTGTGCCTGCTGCTTTGAGCTGATCATCGGTGAGATTGTAGAATCAAAATGAAATTCAATCATTATTTCAATTGAGTAACAAAAACAGTTGCTGATAACTTTGGTGTGGCTGCCTATGCCATCTTTCTGTTCCTGCTGACCGTGTGGTGGGGCAAGGTATGGGGCGATGCCTCTGCCTGTCCGTACACCCACATGGAGGATGTGTTAGAGGGTCGCACCACCTTCAAGGAGATGGCTCTGCGCACCTGGGCTGAACTGATGGGCGGCTGTTGTGTTTATCGCATCGTGCAGGTCTTCTGGTGGCTGGAATTCGCCGAGACGCACAAGGGACGCGCCTTCGAGGAGTGCAATGCTGATCTGCAGGTTAGTCCCTATCTGGGCGCTGCCATTGAGGGCGTGGCAACGTTGCTGTGCCGTCTGGCATCGAAGACGATCAGTGTGCAGGAACCAAAGTTTAGTAGCTATATTGATTCGTTCATTGGCACCAGTTTGGTGGTCGCTGGTAAGTCCTGGCCCGTTTGCCACGTGGCTTTCCAACTACTGTCATATTCTCTCAAAAAAAGTTTACGCTTTTAATTATGCACTGCTTGCAGCTTTCAATTTCTCCGGCGGCTATTTCAATCCGGTGCTGGCCACGGCTCTCAAATGGGGCTGTCGCGGTCACAGCAATCTAGAGCACATCATTGTCTATTGGATTGGCGCCTGTCTCGGCGCACTGCTCTCGGTGCCCATCTTTAAGTTGGCCGTCGTGCGACGCTTCCTTTTGGGTGAGGAGAAGCCCAAAAAGGAGTAGACTGACACCAAAGCAAGAAAAGAATGCTCATAGCTCATAGTTATATTCAAATTGTAAGCTTATTTATTTATTTATTTTGTTTTAGTATTAAAAAAATACTAAGTTATCGCAATAAATGCAATAATCAAATAACTATCGAAATTTACAACAGTTAATTTATCGATCATTTATATTGTTCTCGCGCGAGATTTATTTAGATTGAAAACTGCATATTGAAATGTTAATATTAATTCGATATAAAGTGTTCTTTTACTTAATATCAAATCATGTTAATTTGCACCTATTGTCAAATCGAATAATTTGAATAAATCAGTTATATTATATCGGGAAAATAATTAAGTCAAAATGCTTAGCGGTTATCCATTTTGTGGCATGGAATGGCAAATGTATTGGTAGTTGTTGGTTCTAAATAATATTTTCAGTTAAACAAAAAAGCAAAACTCAAAGTAAGATAAGGAACATATTCTTAGTTTGAATTAATTTTCAGATATTCCAATCATCGGCAGCAGCAACATTAGATTCATCCAGAGGCGGAGCAGCAACAGATTCATTATTATCACTTCTTAGAAGCCTTCTATGCATTCTGGTAAAGCATTCTTGTTTACAATATAAAACATTTTTTTAAAGCTCTAATAATACTTAGTTTTAAAATTTAAGCATGTTTAAGATACCTTTTACGTTTAGTTGTTAATTATATACTTTTTATTGTGTAATTTTACAACGATAGTTAGTATCTAAAATCACAATTTCCATAGTAAAACAGGTTAAACAAACTAATAAGTATACTCTTCATATATACATATATTCTGCGTAGCTTAAGTAAGCATATAGCCAGATATCTTACTGATGATGTAATACACTTGTGGTAGTTTACTCAAGTCCAAGTGGACCTGCTCCTGCTCCTGCTCCAGCTGGTCGAGGTCGTCGTCGTCGCCGTGTGACACGCAAGACGACCTCGTCATTAATACGTTCAAATTGATAGTCACTGTTGCCCATGGAGCAGCGCTTGGTCACAATGGACGTGTCGCTGCTCTGGCTGAGGCTGCTCTCGTTGATGCTCGTCGTCGTCTCATCGATGGTCACATGCAGCACCGGCAACTCTTTTGGGGCCATTGCTTCATCAGGCGGCGTTGCAAGCACCACAGGGTCATCATCAGCTTTTTTTGTTCTTCAGTTAGATGAATTTTACGTTTCTTTAGCGGTGTTTTCTCGCCGCTCTCCGCCTTATCGCTGCTGGGCGTTATCCGCTCGTTGCTGGGGCTACGTAAATTGGCTCTTTTCACCCTGACCTTGACTTTTGTAGGACTGCGTCCAGATTTTTCCACAGCTGGCTGCTGGAGTGGAGATTGAGTGAGTATCTTGACGAGATCCTGTTTGGGCGTTTGCAGCCCTTTCATCGATGTGGATGAAACGGTCGTCTCGCCCGGTTGTTCGTCGTTGTGGGACTGATGCAGTTGCTCCAGTGCTAGCTCAATGGTATCCGTTTCCAGGCTTAAATTCGGATAGCTTTGTTGCAATTCCTTTGGCAATGGCTTCTCTAGAATTAATTCATTCATGACTGCCTCGAGGACAGCGTCGTCGTCATCGTAATCATCATTGTGATCAAGCTTTGTGGAATCTGGTGGCACATACACAACAATGGGTGTGTCTGCAGTTAATTCGGGCACAATTGTTTTATTAACGGTTACAATTTGGCCCACTGTGACCTGTTGCTCTTCGGAGTCTTGATCATTCGATACTTCTTCCAGTTCTTCGCTAGTTTTGTGCTCATCGACTGAGACAGCAATGTGCTCGATATTCATCATATCGGGCAAACGTATATCCTCAATTATTTGTATGCCTCTCATGGAACGCCTTGGTAGCTTCGGAGTCAACACATAATCATCCAATCTTTTCGAGGATTTTCGTAGAGACGTCTTGGAGTCGCATGTTGTCACAGCTTTTTCCTTCCCATCATTTGTTTCCTTGATCTCGGCGTCTCTTGTTGACTGAGTTTGCTTTCTGTCGCTTTCCATTGATTTATTAACAATTGCTTCAGTGATTTCCTTTTCATTTATTGCCTCAGCTGGCTCACAGTCTTGTTTATCTAATTCTTTAGCTTTCACTTCGTGTCTTATTTCATTTGAGATTTTATCTTCTTTACTTTCATGTTCAGTCTCAGTTGTCATCGCTTCCAACTCTTTATCAGTGGATTTCGGGTCCCTTATATTAGCTTGTTCATTATCTAAATTCTCTTCTTTCTTTAAGTCCAGGCATGGAATGTGTTCATTTATTTTTGCAGCATCCACCTCTTCTATGATCTGTTCATTGGAGTTTATATCATCTTTAGCTAAATCGAGGCCTGGAATGCGTTCTTCGGCTTTTGCATAATTTCTTGATGAATTATCATCATCTTCGTCAACATTCACATTCAATTCAGTATTGGGTTCAAGGACTTTTGTATTCGCATCATTTATTACCTTCGCTTCATTTGTATTTTTAGCATCCACCATTGGAATTGTTTCACCTTCCCCATTTAGATTGATTTCTGTATTTTCTACTTCACCAACTATTTCCTCTTCCGCATTGAAATCCCTTTCTGGCACTTCATCGTTGGTTATTATGTCTTCGTTGGCATTTATTGCTTCACTTTCGTCAATTAAATCCAGTCCAGGAATGTGTTCTCTGATTTCTACGTCCATTACTATTCTGATCTTCTCTTCAGCCTCAGTCTTCATTGGACTCGCTTTCTGCTCCTCTTCAGCTGTTAAATCTAGACCTGGTATATATTCCATTGATTGAGTTTTATAATCCAGACTTTTAATTAGTTCAGTACCCATTTCTTTCTGCTTAAAAGCTCTCTTGTTTTTCACAAAATATTTGTCAACTTCTTCGACTGTTTTTGAAGCATTTCTAGTTGCTTCTGGTTGATTCCTATGTTCTATTTGACTTGCTGGCGTATACAGATCTTGGGGTGTTAACGCTTCCTTATTAGCCAGTAGTTTTTGCATTACCTCTTCATTGACGGCATTGTTGTTGCTCTGTTCATCCAACTGCTCTGGTGTGCTGCCAAAATTTGCATTCAAGGCTTTTTCCTTATGGCGCTTATCGTTTTTTGTCGTTTGTTTTCGATGTTTTTCAGCGCTTTCAGGGGATTGATTGGCTTTGCTGGAATCGATATATGTGGCTTTATAAACAGGATTATCTGGCTAAGCAGATTGGTGTTAAATGCTCTACAAACTTACCTGCTTTTGTTGTGGCTACTTTTGTGGCCAGAACGTGAATGAGAACGGGAACGGGAACGTGAGCGACTATGTCGACTTCTCTTCAAATCTTTGGAGTTTGTTCGATGTCTGTGACTGCTACTCTTCGCCCGATCTCGCTCCCGATCCCGACTATGACTGCGACGTCGACTGCGTTCAGCGTCTTTTACTTTATCTCGCTCCCGATCTCGTTCTCGATCTCGATCTCGATCGTGTGAGCTGCGATGGCGGCTTCCTTCATTAGAGCTGCCAAAGAAATTGTCATGTTTGTGTTCCTTCTTCTTGTCATGGCAGGCATCCTGTGGCTGCGTTTTATTTTGTTCGCTTCTGGAACGCTTCTGATTCTCAGCTTTTATCTGTCCGGACCAGTTTTCATTGTTGTTGTCCAAAGCAATTTCTGTTTTAAATTGCGCCGCTATCGCCTCACGTTTGAAGCGTTTGTGCTCCTGCCGATCCACCTCACCCGCAGCCTGCTGTGCCTTATGCTGCTCAAGATTCGCGGGTCGCTTGCGTCTAAAGCAAATATCATCTTTTCTATAAAAGAAAGGGAAAAAATGTATTTAGCACATTTTGAGTTGTGCAACAGGCATTGTTTACTTACTCCTTGCGCAACTGCGTTATTTGTGCATCTTTGCGTTTGATTTCGGCCTTGGCCGTATCGAGTAGATTCTGGAAATTCACCTCCATTGTTTTAATCTTTTTGGCAAGCGTCTTGTTTTCCGCTTGCAAATTAGCAATTTCCAGCTGGATGGCCTCAAATTTGGTTTGCCAGGCCTCCAACTCTTTGGATTTCTATTGATAAACTCGAGTTATGATTTATATTATGAGCATTATGCAGTTACTTACTTTATTCTCGGCCTCTTGGAAATCATCCAAATCATCATAGATATCCAGTTCGTCGTCCATTATTTGTTGTAAGCACGCAGACAACAAATATCATCATAAAAACAGCCGATTAAATGCGCGAAATTTAGGCAGTGTTGGTCAATGCCAGAACTCATCAGCATTCCCATTCACAAAGCAGCACTGCGTTTATGGGCAGCACTTTGTCAATATCATGAGAGAACTGAAAGTTCAAATGTATATTATTATTATAATAGTCATAGTACACATCGAGCATACTCAAATACAGAATAACGAGAAAACTTTTCAAAATACATACACACACCCACTTACACGCGTAAAGAAGACATACAATGGCCGACAATCGTGGTGAATACAAACGCGAACGACGAAAATTCTCATGCTTAACATATGCAGTAACAGCCACATTCTTATTACTGGCATTATTGCAATGGTATTTGTTTCACTTTGTGTAAGTTATCTCGAATCTAGCACTGACAATGTTTATACAACTAATTTAAATTATATTTGCAGTGTGGAAATAAATAGTTATTTTTTTCAACATGCCTGGATTGGCATCATATTCTTTGTGCTTAGTCTGGTGTTGATCCTAATCTTCATCTTCTTTGAGGATTTGCGCTTCTTTACGCCTGGCAATTGGATATTTGCCTTTCTAATCGTAAGTTGTCCTTAAGTACATTTAATTTTCATCATCTCCGTTTTTTATAGTTTGAGTGCATTGTTATCGGAGTTACATCGCTGATTGTACGTCACTATAAATATCATTATTTGCTGAGTTTCATCATTTGGACTCTTGTGCTAATCATATTCCTCTTAATTGGCACTTTTCTGCCGGTAAGCTAAAAATACTTAATACAATTAGCAATTACTAATAATCTCCTTTAAAGCGTGACTTGACGCTGGATGTTGTGGTGCTCGTAATAATTGGAATTGTATGCATTATTGGAGCCATTTATTTTCTAATGCTCCACATTGTCGCAAATGTGCCTTATTCTTTTTTTGCCTGTCGAGCTTTCCTTGTACTTAGCATTGTAATTGTAAGTAGTCAATTTAATACTCAAACAAATTAAGCTTAACTTCTTCGTTTTAGTTCGTCATGTATCATGCACAAATTATCAATGGTGGTCGCTTTGCTGAGATTCGGGATAAGGATTATTTGCTTGCTGCTTTAATATTATTCTACGATTTTCTGATGATGTATCTATTTACATTCCAATTGGCACCCAAATGGTCAGATGATTGTGATGCGAACAAGAATGTGACAAGTGTGCTGGTAGTCGATTCGCATCTGACAAAAACAACCACAAGCGAAATGGATCGCTTAGCCGATCGAATTTCAGGTGATGGCGATTGAGTTTTTCAAAAATTTCTGTTTAAATTTACGCGGTCAAATAAAAGTGCAACTCTTTGCAATGTGAATGGGTAACACTTTTTTGCCTTGCCTAACGCAGCCAACTTAATGCTGATTGAGATTTTGGCGCGCTGCAGCTGTTTCCAAATTTGTTGTTGTGTTTCTTGCTGGCTGCGAATAAACTTTAATTGGCACAAAGCTGACATAAACAATAAACATTTTTGCACTGTGCAACGTCACATACAAGACGACTGTCAGTTGAGCAAGAGCAATGGATCCCACTATATCTGTTTCAAAGGTAAGCGGAAGAGTTTAAAAGTTGGAAATTGACCATTGAAATTTGGTTTCATTTTAGGGCTGTTTTGTGTATAAAAATGGCGCAACAAGAGCCAACAAAAAGGAGCCCAGCAAACGTAAACGCAGTGGCCCAGCAGCGACGAGCAGCCTGCTGGGCAAGGAGATCACCACGCAGCCATTCTATGCCGCCTACTCTGACTGCTGGAAACAGCTCCACGAACACATCCAACAGCTGCAAATGACGAGCAATGCTCGAACGCTCGAGCAACTGGTGGAATTTGTGGGCATCGAGGGCCATTGCCGGCTAGATGAGGTGCTGCCCACAGCGGCGCTGCTGACGGGCATCAATCAGCCGGATCACTTGAAGCAATTCGAGACGCTAACGCAACGCTTGCATTTGCAGAGAGTGGGTCGTGTTTCAGTGCTTCAATCTCGTGATTGTGCCACACTAAAAGCAGCCATCGAATCCATGGTGTACAGCCTAATGTACGATCTGTCGGCAATGCCTGAGATGGATGAGGAGGAGGCAGACGAGGGTGAGCGTGATCGCAAGCGATTGCGACGGACGCAGTGCACCCTAAAGCAACTTCACGCTTGGTATTCGAATAATTTTGGTGGAGCTGGCAAACAACGTGCTTTGGTCATTGTTCTACCCGACTTTGAGTGCTTCAATGCGAATGTGCTGCAGGATTTTATACTCATACTCAGCGCACAGTGCGAACGCTTACCATTTGTCCTAATCCTCGGCGTGGCTACTGCAATGACGACGGTGCACAGCACATTGCCCTACCATGTTAGCAGCAAGATCAAGCTGCGTGTCTTTCAGACACAAGCAGCTCCAACGGGTTTGAATGAGGTGCGTCAAAGTAACAGGATTAAGACGAGTCATCTTTGATCAGCTTCTCCAATTCTTTCTCTCTTCCAGGTGCTTGATAAAGTGCTGCTCTCTCCCAAATATGCATTCCATTTGTCTGGCAAGGCTTTCAAGTTTCTGACGCACATATTCCTCTACTACGACTTCTCCATACAGGGTTTTATACAGGGCTTCAAGTATTGTCTCATGGAGCACTATTTTGCCGGCAACGCGTTTGCTTTGTGCACTGGCTACAGTCAGGCGCTGGGACGTATCAAGCAGTTGTCGCATGAGGATATGGAGACGATCAGGCGTCTGCCCTCGTTTCGTCCGTATGTGGAGCAGATCAATGATTGCAAGCGGATCATTGCTGTGCTCACGGACGATGAGTATCTGAAGAAGAAGTTGCCGCAATTGTTGCGCGATTGTCTGCTGCACTTTATGCTCTTCCGATGCAGCCTGGAGTTCTTCACGGAGCTGGTCGGAGATTTGCCACGCTGTCCACTGGGCAAATTGCACCGGGAACTGTATGTCAACTGTTTGAATAAACCGATCTCACAGCAGGCCGAGTACAAGGAATGCTGGCAAATCCTCAGCTTTATGTCCAAGGAGGCGTTTGTAGCCAAGTTGTCCAAATGCATTTCGTGCACCGAACACTTTCTTAGCGAACAGATAGCGCCACTTGAATTGGGTGACGCCTGTGCCGAAGTCATGCGTGCCGAGCTACAAACACTGAAGACGCTGCTCAACGATGTGGAACTGGCGACATTGGAGCAGCAGCCCCATGTCAATAGTGAATCCCATTTGTCGAGCGATGCACGCGCTCTAACCGATCTTACGCAGGTCGCCTCCCGGCAGGAGCTGAAGGCGCAACTGTTGCAACGCAGCAAACAGGATAAGCAACAGTCGACGTCGGAATATGCACGTGCTCTGACCAAGATCTTGGCACACATTGAGGAGCAATTGGTGTTGAAGCATCTGCGTCCGTTGCAGCAGGCACCACCACTTCACGAACTCTACGTCTTCACGGACATTGCAACTGTGCGGCGGAATATCATTGGTGCACCTCGTGCCGCACTCCACACCGCACTGAACAATCCACATTTCTATATGCAATGCAAGTGCTGTGAGCTGCAGGATCAGACGCAGTTGGTCGGCACCATGCCCGATCTGTCAGTGGTCTATAAATTGCATTTGGAATGCGGTCGCATGATAAACCTATTCGACTGGCTGCAAGCATTCCGCTCTGTGCTGCGCTCCGCCGACGAGCAGGAGAACGCGGAAGTGTCTCAGGAACATATCGATCCACAGATTCAGTGAGTATTGAAGGGATTTTAATTCAGTTGTTTAGCCTTGAAATGAATTACTCTTTTCTTCAATTTAGGGCACGCTTCACACGCGCTGTGGCCGAGCTGCAGTTTCTGGGCTACATTAAAATGTCCAAGCGGAAAACGGATCACGCCACTCGCCTCACCTGGTAGATTACTAAATAAATTGTATGCACAATTTTATACAATGTGTGGGAATTTTTTTTACTTACAGTTGAGAATGATTAGATTTGGTTAGAGTTGTACTTTACATTTTTATTAAAATCCAATAAAACTTCTTGTATTTTTTTGAGAGAAATAATACAAAACTAAAATTTCATTTCGCTTAAAAGAGATATTTAAAGTGTAAAATAGTTTGTATATTTATTGAGATAAGCAATAAAAATCTTAAATTTCTTTGGGTTTAAAAGAGATCTTTAAATTGTAAACTAGCATTTCTTGTGGCTCAAAAGAGAGATTTTAAATTATGTTTAAGTTTTAATATGTCGTAATGATTTTTAAATGAAATGTTATTGAGCCTAAAACAAAGTACTTCAAAATGGGAACTTAATTTCAATTGTTATTTAATTTATGCATTTAATTATATATATTCCTAATCATTTATATTTGAGTAATACACGTTTCAATTCCAATTAAAATCCCATGCTTATATCCCTTACAAAACTTAGAAGTAACGCTCTATTTTTAGACATTCCGTTTGCGTAATATCAAGGACGTCATTCAACCTTAACTTGTTTAAATTAGAGTTAGCTCTTCGGGCTATCTCAAACGTCATTGCACAAAAGCACATCCACCAATAATAGTCCGACAAAAATACAGTAGTCCTAACCGCAGACGTAATCAAATTGAGCATATGCTGCTAATGTGCTTATGTTTGTTTAAATCTTGTGCTCTGTTTGTTGGAGTATTTACCACAAACTATTTGAAATATGGTGCAAGGAAAACGCAGTCCACTTTGTCATATGGGGTGCTTTTCTGCCACTCTGTGGTTTGTCCTTATTTTGGCTCGCTAGTTGACCATATTGTGGCAGGCACCCTGTAAATAGCAAACCAAAGCTACAAAATGGTATAAAATGTGCAGAGTTCTAAGGAACTGTCGCAGTTCTTCCCTACATTTCGTAGTGGACTGTCCATAAAGCCTTTATCTATTATTGTCAACAACTGGGATATCAAGATCAAGATTTATTAATACATTCCAACTATGTATTTGCTAGCTCCATTTATTAAAATGGATGGCCTCATCGTTTTGTTGTTCCTCTCAGCCCTTATGCAAGGCATTGGAGCAGCCCCCATTGAGGTAATTATTACGAATCTTAAATTAAATCACATTTAACATGTGTTTTTAATAGGAGCCTGAGTTGTGTGTGCTGAAATCGGGAAGTATTGAATGCTCACCGGGTAAGTATTGACTTTGACTCTAAAGTATTTATAAATTTAAATTAGTTAAGTTGAAAAGGATATTCTTAAGGCTGATTTTACATTTGTATTATGCATAAGGAAAACAAGTGTATTTAAATGGCTAGAAACTTGTCTGATTACCTGTCCGTCCACAGTCTTCATTTAAATTTTAAAGTTATCAGATTTGTCATTAAACGAAAATCAATTTCAGTACCCATAACTTCAAAAATCGAATCTCTATTTTAAATACACTTAGTCAAGCTTAATTTCATAAATATAAAAGTATATTACAGTCGTTTACTCAGCTGCAACAATTGTATTCCAAGATATCAGTAGCCAATGTATTCGACTATAATAAACTCGAAAAAATTATTTTATTATGTATATTTATAAAAACTTACACTTTTGCCAGAAGCGCTATTATTTAATTTTACTTAGTCTAAGGTATTTTTTCTTAATAACCTTCATTAACTAGGATTTATTTTGAAGTTAAGCTCATTGTCTTTTTAATTTTTAAGAATAGTGATGTGTTTTCTTATCTGTAAACTGCATTTGTATTTTTTTACTACGATTTTAGGGATTTGTTTAGTGTTTAGTTTTTGGGCTTAGGAGTTGATCAAGTTTTATATTTAAACCTTTAGGTAGTTTTTGGGTTGGCTGGCAAAAATCCTCTAGACTGAACCCTCCACGTGGGTGCCGGCTGGGCAATGGACGCTGTGGATGCTTTGATCACTGATATCTTCTCTATTGACATTATGGACTCCACAGTGTCTAGCTAAGGACTTGGTACAGTTGCTCTATAACGCCAACGCGTAATGGGAAAGCTGATACTGAGCCATGGTCTAGAGGTGTCTATTATTCAGTTGAAATATCCATTAAGAATTCTCTCTTTTACAAAAGATTATTTTCTTATACTTTAGAGAAGCTCAAGAAGTAATTTGAGTAGTTTAAAACTATAACATTTTAAGTCTGATATTTTTCATTAAATTCACAAATTTTAATCAAGACTTGTTGACATCGAAAGCCAAGTCCAATTCATCCAAAAACGAATTTAAATAATTTGAAATGAATTCTTATTTTTAATCTTTTCTGGAGAAACTCTTCTTATAAATTTCAGATATTTGAAAACTAAGCTGATGCCGTGAAACTAAATTACTTAAGGATATCGTATGGGATCATATCAAAAATAAATTACACAGATAATAAGATGAGAGGCTATCAAGGACAGCGAATACTCACAGATAAATATAATCAAATAATACAACGTGATTTCTTTTATATAAATATTGCGATTTGAAAAATTCTTGTATTGCATTTAATAAGTTAGCACATATTTTATAAATTGTAGCTATAAATTAATAATCAAATTAAAAAGCAAAACGTAAAATGCAAACGTAGCTTGGTTTTTTCTCTACTGTTTATAGCGAGTTTAGAGTCATCAAGCGTCTAAGTGAATATCAATAGAATGCAGCCAGAGCTCAGCCTGTCCAGGTCCTGGAGTGGACTGGGAGCTCACAAGAGCTTAAGCGTTTCAATAGCAGCCGCAATGCGTTCGATTTCAGTGCGGGATTCGGTTAATTTTGTCTCATTGGCCGATTGCACTCCAGTTGGCACCTTGGTGGCATAATCGGGTGCCTGAATCGCTGCGCTCAGCTTGCTGACAGTCTGCTCCAGTTGATCGCGCTTATTTTGCAGCTTGGCAATCTCCTTGTCCGCCTCAATCAATCCCTTGAGCAGCAGATGCACCTCACACTGCACCGAAACGGTGAGAATGGCGCAACCAGCCGGTGGCTGACTGTCAAAAGTCACCGTGGAACAGTAGGCGATCGTGGACAGTTCGCTGACATAACGCTTGAGTATGTCATTGGGTGCAGCATCGGTGCACACAATAAATGCCTCCGTCTTCGTCTTGTTTGGTAAATTGTAATCGGAACGCGCCGAGCGGATGATGCGAGCTGCTTTCTGCACAAATTCCACATCAGTTTCGATTTGAGCACTGCGCCAGGAAGTGTTGGCTACGGAAGAGGAATGATTTTAATACAAAGTTCGATTTATTGAAACGAGAGTGTTCCACTGGAAAGATACCCTGTATGCATTCTCTCTCGAAAATCATATTGGACAGAAACTTACTTGGATAGCTGGATACACAAATGCTGGGCGTGTTGTCGGCGCGTGGCAGACGCTGGAATAGCTCCTCCGTGATGAAAGGCATGAAGGGCGACAACAGACGCAGTCCGTAATCCAAGCAAACATAAAGAGTGCGCCTGGCCGCCGCCTGCTGCTCCTGGCTGCCACTCAGGAAGATGGGCTTGAGGCACTCCAAATAAACGTCGCAGACATCGTAGAGCCAGAAGGCATAACAGGCACTGGTCACAGCAGCAAAATCATACGCCTCAAATCCCGTGTTGCAGGCGTCAATGGTGGCCGCCAATCTGGAGAGAATCCAGGCATCCATACGATTCGATTCGTCGTCGAGTGTGATCTGTGTATTGTAGCGTTCCTTGCCCGTGAAATAGAGCAAAGCGAATTTCGTTGCATTCCAGATCTTGTTGCAGAAGAAACGATAGCCTTGGACACGATTAATGTCCAGATTGATATCGCGCGCCTGGGTGATGTAGGCGCACAGCGCGAAACGCAACGCATCCGAGCCACATTCAGGTATGCCCTGCGGATAGTCCTGTTTCTGGCCCAGCTTGGCCATCTCAATCTCACGCGGATCGAGATTGGAGCCAACGAGCTGCTCGTGCAATCCCTCCAACGAAATACCACATATCACATCCATCGGATCGATAACGTTGCCCAGCGATTTGGACATTTTACGCCCGTGCGCATCGCGTACCATCGGATGCAAATATACCTCCTTGAAGGGCAGCTTGCCTAACAGCTTCTGACCGAAGAAGACCATGCGTGCCACCCAAAAGAAGAGTATATCATGACCCGTCTCCAGCAGCGATGTTGGATAGAAGGCCTGCAGATCGGCTGTGTTATCCGGCCAGCCGAATACGGAGAACGGAAACAGTCCCGAGCTGAACCAAGTATCCAACACATCCTCATCTTGGTGCAGCACAATCTCACTGGCATTCACACCAAAGCGTGCGGCAGCCTTTATCAATGCTTCCTGCTCCGAGCGTGCCACAATCCAATACTCCTCGGCATCGGGCTGAAAGAGCAAGAAAGGAGATAAGAATCATAAAATTAAAACTAAGCTTCAATTTCCAAGGTTCACTCACCGTGCCTGCCTTGATGCTGGCATCCTTGAAGGTCACATGATAGGCGGGTATGCGATGTCCCCACCACAGTTGCCTGGACACACACCAATCCCGAATGCCGTCCATCCAATGGTACCATGTCTTCGTATGATGTTCGGGCAGTATTTTGAGCTCACCGGAACGCACAGCTTCCGTGGCGGAGGCAGCCATATCCGCGCAGCTAACATACCATTGTGGTTTGATCAGTGGTTCAACCACATCCTTGGAACGACTACAAATGGGCACAACCATTGCATTGTTCAAAGTCTCACGATAGAGACCCAGTTGCTTGAGCTTCTCCAGCAACCGTTTACGACAATCGAAGCGTTTGAGCCCAGTAAATTCGCCATAGTCACCAACAATGAAGCCATCATCGTTGATGATGGTAATAAATGGAAGATTACAACGCTTGCCCACCTCGTAGTCATTGGGATCGTGGGCGGGTGTAATCTTAACAGCACCAGTGCCAAAATTCATGTCCACAAACTCATCACAGACGATGGGCAGACGACGATCACAGAACGGATGCACAACATGCTTGCCATGCAGATGCTTATAGCGCTCGTCTTGTGGATGAACGGCAACAGCCGTATCGCCAAGCATTGTCTCAATTCGCGTGGTGGCCACAATTATCTCCTCATCGCTGCCCTCCACTTTGTAGGCGAACTTAACGAGCACACCAAATTCCACTTTCTCTTCGTAGCCGGGTATAGCGAGGAATGTGCGTCCTGTCAACTCCACCTTGTCCACCTCAATATCCGAGATGGCGGAGCGTAGGGTGCACGACCAGTTAACCAAACGCGAACTGCGATAAATGGCACCCTTCTCGTGCAGACGCACAAAGGCTTCGGTCACAGCGCGACACAGTTTCGGATCCATGGTGAAATTTACACGTGTCCAATCGTAGGAGGAACCGAGTGCCTTCAACTGATCATAGATGCGACCGCCCTTCTCGCGTCGCCAATTCCAGATGCGTTCAATGAACTTCTCACGGCCCAAATCGTGCCGCGAGAGACGCTCCTCGCGCCACAGGAGTTTTTCGACCACCACCTGGGTGGCAATGCCGGCATGATCACAGCCAGGCACCCACAATGTGGTGCGTCCCTTCATCCGATTATAGCGTGTGATGGCATCCTCAATAGCATTGGTCAGCGCATGACCCAGATGCAGTGAACCCGTCACATTTGGCGGTGGAATGACCATTATGAATTTACCATTCGGATTGGGTGCATCAATGGAATCACGCTAGAGTTGAGATTATTTGTGAGATTGTTCTATTGATTTATATCTATATTTATTTCTCTTACGCCATATTCAGGTGTAAAGAAGCCCTGCTTCTCCCACCAGCTGTACCACTGCGCCTCCACATAGCGTGGACTGTACGCATCTGGCAGTGCGCCACTCAGATCCTTCTTCTCCCCGGGCGCTGTGTTGGCCGTATAAATTGCAGCTTCCTTTGTCTCTTTGGTGCGTTTCTGTAATAATAAGGTAGAGTTTTAACTTTAAAGCATACCCGATTTACCTATTTTTGTATTATAAGGTAATAGCAGCGCAACTAATATAAAAACTTTCACCAAACCAAAAAAAAACCTTAACATACATATTTGTGGGCAATGAGGTTGACTTACGACTACCCTGTACGATAGACCTAACACAATAATTTAATTTATTTTATATTTTTCTTTGTGTATTTTGTTGCATCGACTGATATTAGTTTAAGTTAAATAATAATGATTGGCAATATAAAACTAAATCAGCAGTCATCGAACACACTTCTATACACAAATCAAACCACAATAACAAAAGCAAAATACATTCACTTTTTACGCTGATTGCTTGCCACAAAAATGATGAATTAATTTTTAAATTGGAACGAAACTATTGAGCCCAATGTACACATTCACTTTTCGCTATAAAAATAATTAACGAATTTTGAAACTCGAATTGCACACGTTGACATGAGTCATTTGAGTGCGTGAATACTCTACAAACATAAATAATTGTTGTTACAACAATAACAACAAGGAGAAAACCTAACCTTAACCTGCATTTACCTCGGGTTTCTCCTTTTTGTCGCCTGCTGCTGATGCTGCTGCTGCCTTTTTGTCCAATTTCGCCTGTAATTTAGCTAATTTCTCGGCTTTCTTTGCCTCCTTTTCCAATTGTTTGGCCGTCTTTGGTTGACCATCTTCTCCGGTTGGCGTCTCCGCGCTGCTTAGTTCTTCTGGCATGTTGCTCTTTGTTGATTGTTGTCGTCGTCGATTGAGCTGTTGTAATACACACCAACGTTTAAATAATGGTTGCAGTCTGATGCAATACAATTGTGATAAATGGTAAACTTACTTTGCGGCCACTTCATGCAGTTCGCACCCACAGATGAAAACGTGTGCAAATTGTGTGACCAGATGTGCTATTTATTTTACCATACAACATCGATATATCCGGTCAATTGCAAGATACTTAGTCTATCGATGCTTTTGGTATGTTGTTATCGACTCTGTTACAGCGCTAATTCTATCAATGTGTTTTGTTAAAATTAGCAAAGAAATGTGCAATTTCTGTGTATAAACTTTGCTGCTAATTGTGAAAAAGCGAATAGAGAATAGCGACGAACTGTGGTCTTACATGTGCGTGATATGTAAAGTGCAAATGCCAAATGCAGTCAAAAGCCACAGAAATGCCAGTGGACAACGACAACCGATTGGAGACGATGCGCCTTCCTCCAATTTCAGTTTAGCTGGACACTGATTAGACGCCAAGCGCATTGGATGTTGTTATTTTTTATTCTGCAAACCCCAAAAACAAATAGTTTGGTAAACACGCACACACACACCTATACGCACATGCACACATAGATAGAGAGAGAGAGAGAGCGAGAGAGGTGGTGTGCAGCTAATCTATTGTAAATAAACCGCATACTGCTGCTGCTGCTCTATTGTGAACGAACACTGTTCTCGGTCACGTACGCCGTTTGTTGTTGCATCTGTGTTGTTCTGAGTAAAGAAAAAAAAAACTATTGCGAATTTCTTGCGAAATTTGTGTATCGATATCACCTGACGAGCCTGCAAGCGTTTAAAGGAGAGCGACAGACCGAGCGAGAGAGACAGAGAGAAAGCCAAGGAACAACTTTTCTTCCATAAGGTGAGTGAGTTTTCTTCTTCTTCGTCTTTAGTTTTAAGTGTAGCATTATTTAATTTGCAAAAGACATTTCGCAAAATCGATTTTTCATTTTACCTCTATGAGTCGCCACTAGAGCTTAATTCTCGTGCCTCTCTTTGTGGCCCACTCGTCTCTTTTTATGTGTTTGTGTTTTTTTTTTTGCCGGGTAATGCGTCACTTGAGCCTCGTCTTAAGAGCTGTAGAATAAATTACATTAACAATAATTTTTTAATTAATGGACAGTCACACTCGAAGAAAATTTCTTAATGTGCCTAATGAACATTCAATCAGCTATGTAAATAATAGATACGTGTATGATTACTGATAATTAAATATTATTTAATAATCCTTTTAGCTATGCATTCTACAATTAGCTCATTAAAATTTCAATTTCATGTCGTTTTTTTCTCTAGATAAATTCCTGATTTCGCTATTAATATTACACACGTGTTTGATTAAGTATGGTAGTCATTGTATTAATAAATATTCTTTAATTATCCATTTAGCTAGTCATTCTAAAATTAGCTCTTTAAAATGTCAATTTCAGTTGATGTTATAGATTTTTAGCGGCCGTAATCGTTTTTCAACGCTAATGTCATTTTAATCTTTTTTTTCTCTATATTAATACTTAATTAAATTTATAATTATATAATATTGTATTTATAGTACTTGTATTATAAATATTATTCAATTATCATTTTAATTTGGGCATTCTAAAATTAGCTCTTCAAAAGGTCAATTTCAGTTCTCTCTTTTCAACTTGAGACTTGCATAACTGTATCAAAAACGAATCGATTTTAAATTTCATAATATTTCCTCATTTCAATTAGAAAACACAATTTTAAGCCAAAGTTAACTCATTGTACTCCAATTTCATCACTTCCATATCTTGCTCAATAATTATAAATCAATTATACAATATATCTGAAAAAAGCATCATATTTATAGAACTATTAGACTGCATTTGGTATAATTCATTGCAACTTGGTCACCTTCTGCCAGTTGGTCAATGATTTTCAGCATTGCCACGCCCCGAAATTTAAGACGACAGCTGTCGGGTTAGTTGTGCGGTGTTAATGACTTCTTCTAAACAAACAAACTCACCTCGTGTAAACAAAACAGCGACAACGACCAAATGTTTGAAAGCCAAATACCATATCAAATAAAAAAAAAGTTATTGACATGAGTAGACGACAACCCTTAACTGGAGAGAAGAGTCGGCAGCAGCAGCAGGACATGAAACAATAGGGATCGAGGCAAGGCAAACTGACCTGCGACAAAAAGACAGCGCCAGGCCCATAAACTCCTGTGACAAACATCTGCTCTTCTTCCGAGTCCTTTCTGTCTACCTGCAGACGCAATGGGAACCAGAATGGAAAGGCGAATGGGACACAGATCCAGACAGAGTTCAATGTACGCCTGCGCAAACATTTCACAGGATGAATAAAGCGCAGCTGCGATCAGGATTCCCGTGTCTACTCGGATGTTCCTGATTTTTGAGCTCTCCTTTAGTTTCTTCTTTTTTATTGCCTTTGCTGTTTGTGTTTTCGCACTTCCTATGCGAAAGCGGAAATCTTGAATTCTGTAACAGTTTTGTACTTGTATGTAATCTCTGCCCAACGATCGCTTTATCCTGGCCACGCCCTGTTTCTTGCTTACCGGTTTGCGGCCAAAAAAAAAAACAAGTTGCTCGAAACGCAATTTGAAACTTTTTTTTTGTGGGATCCTGTTCCCTTTCTCTTTGTAGGATTGGGGCGATCGTCGGCTGTCTACGGGTCTCGTCCCTGTCGTCTCGTATTGAGTTACAGTTGTGCCTGAAAAGCTGACAAACGGATCTGGTTTATATGATGAGTTTGTGTTGCTGTACTTTATACTTTGTCAGCACGATATCCATATGCAGGCTGGCTGAGCTCCTTTTTTACTGGGGGGTCATATGCAGGTGATGCATTTGAGGCAGCTGCCAGTGTTGCCTAACCAGCATATAATTACTTTAGATTCAAAAAACGACGTTGCGGTTAAAATCAATTTCGGGTTGGTTTATTTTTGTTTGAGAATACCCCAAAAAATATATATAAAAAGATGTTATGACAGCTGCAATAAGTTAAAATTACTTTAAGTTTTTATATAAAAGAAAATGTTGGGATAAATTAAGTTTATAATATGTTTCAGCTAAAAGTAGCCCGTATACGATTATCAAAATATAATAATAAAAAAGGGTTAAGCATTTAAACGTATTGTTTTGAGAATATACATTTGTTTTATTCCGGTAAAAATATATTTGAGTCTCCCAAATCTATGCAAAATAACACTTTAATTAAATAATATTTGTATATCAATCAAGTTAAATAATGACTTGGGAAGCGTCTCAGGCTTCGTAGTACATCAATTTGTCAATGTTTTATGATTGAACTCAAAGTTCGACTAGCTATCAATCAAATCTAAATAGTGACAGGCCTAGCAAATCATACAACTGTCTCAATCCACACACACACACACAGACAACTAGGCACACACTCACTCAAATATTAACATTAAAACAAGCGCAGCCAATCAATCGACGACCATCAGCTGCCACGTAGAAATAGCAACTGAAAATAGAAAAAGGAAAAATATAAAGTAGAAACTGCTGCAGATGCTGTGCATTGTTGGGCACTTTGGGTCCTTGGTCTTTGGTGCTTGGCGCATGCCACATCAACGAGCATTTATCTAGGGGAAGTCCCATTGCAGGCAGGCAAAACCAGATGTTCAGCCGCACACAATCAATGCAACAGCGGGGCAGCTGCCACTGCCCAACGAGGCAGTCAGGCAACTCAGTCGACTTGCAGCCGGCTTGCAGTAGATTGGTAGACCGATGAGCCACGGAGGCACGAAGGCATTCATTAGCATTACCTTTTGAACGGGTCGACAGATGGCTGGCTGAGCAGGCTGAGGCAGTAAGGCAAGCAGACAGCTGCACCTTTTGCCATTTGGGCCATTGGGCTAAGCACTTAAAGTGCAGGTGTTGTTGTTGTTGTTATTGCTGCAGTTATACTTGGCCAGTTGTAGTCAGCTGGTCTCAATTTTAGCCGGGTTGATTTTTTGGTTTTCCTGACCGACCCTACACATTTTATGGGGATGTTGCCAAAAAATCAGCTGTTTTTGCGCAATGTTTATAAACAAAAACTGTGCTGTAGTAACCCTTGGAACCACCACTGAGTCTCGTAGCAGTAGCAGTAGCAACCACCAGCAGTAACAACCAGCGCAGCAGCGGCACACGACCAACCATCATGTCCACGACCTACTTTGGCGCACTTTACTCTGGGCGCACATGGCGCATGGGGTGGTTCCGCTCACAACAACAACACAACAGACACGGCAACAACCACAGTGAGACGGCCTTTTGTAGGTGCAAGGACGTTTTGCGTTTTGCCGGGCAAATAACCCCCCCAAAAACACAGTTCAACAGGAGCCACCACCAAGTCAACGGCAGAGACAGAGGCAAAGTTAAAGGCACCGACCAACATGTGCTCTGCTGCTGCTCCGCTCTTGGTCATGTGCGCTTTAACCAATCCACCACCAACCAACCAACTGACTGACATATATACGTATATATATTTTTAGCCACCTTGCAGTTCATTGGCATGTGCCACCGGCGTGTGTCATCAGAGACGATGACGACGACTCATCCACACAACGTCTTCGTCACTTTTAGGGGTTTTCCCAAAAAGAAAAAAAAATTGTGAAACGGAACAGCAAGCAAAACAAAAGTGCGACTTGGTGGTAGTTAGAGTCGCGCTCCCATTCATAAAGCATAACATAAACATACCCCCGGACATATATATATAAATATATATATATATATATATATATATATAAATATATATATATATATATATTGTAGTATAGAATATAGTGCATTGTTTGCTGTTTATTTTTGCCGCCTCTCCGTCTCTATTTCTAGGTGGTGATTTCCCGACCTAATCGCAGGTGTATATATATTATATATTTATATATATATTTATAGACAACCCCCTAAAAACTTCTCGGCTAATTCAACAGGTCGCCCCGGTTCGAGTGGTTGCAAGTGTTTGCATGTGTGTGTGTGTGCAAGTGTGTCCCTGGCCCGATTGAGGGTAATTAGTATATTTTTTTGGGGTTATATTGTGGCATTGACCCAAGTTTTTCATTATATATACATATAGCAAAGGGGTTGAAGGTCATACAGGTTGCTATTTTTAAGTGGGTTGTTGAGAGTTTCGGAATTTAATGGGTAATTTTGGAAAGTCGTCTTATTCAATGCGTAGAACTAAGAAAAAATACGCATGCATTAATTTATAGCATACTTATGTGCAAAAAGTTTAGCATGATTAGAAAAATTCTGGAAAACTTTAAAATATGTGAATCCTATTTTGAATTTAGTTTCGGTATTGAGATAAATAATCCTTTTGAAAAAGGAAATTAGTTAATATTGAAGTTAAGTTTTAAATAAGGATCTGATTACTCAATAGTTAATATTGATGCCTTTTTAATATATTTCATGTTAATTTTTCTGAGACACCAGTTTTTATGACGTCGCCTCTTCAATTTCCTCGTTTTTTGATTGTCTTTATGAATAAATTCCTATGAAATTTGATTTTTTAATGAACGCATTTCATTTTCAGCGTTTCAATTAGAAAATTTCATCCCCATATGAATGAATTCACATCCGCTCATTAGGAAATTTGATTTTTGCTTGAAATGATGCAATATCCTTGAATTCCTTCCACAAAACAGTCTTGAATAATGATTAATTATTCTGCCTCCTTTTGATTTTCGTTTTCTCCTCTTGTTTTCCTCCTTTCCTCTTAATCTTGAATGTGAACTGAAATCGAGCTGGCCTCGAAGTCCTTGATATGTTTTGGCCCCATTTCACAAGTTATTTGCGAAAATTGTGTAATTGGAGCATGTGTAAAAAGCAAAAAAGGAAAAAAAATCACAAAAACAAGAAGGGAAATGCCTGCGTA